GAATAATAGTGAACCAAGTTTATAGCCACGAGGCACTCCCAAAGTATAAAAAAATGAGAAGTAATTAGTGGGTGTGTAAGCGAACCATTCTCATAGTAGGTACATACAACAGTTTTAAAGATGGTTTTGATAACATTACACAAGGTGAATCAATCAAATTTAATTGAAAACACAAATATACACAACTATTAACTATAGCAATACTGCTATAATATCTAATGAAGGCAAGCCACGGTTGATGCGGGTTTCTCGAGCGCCACCAGGGTGGGCGGATGCTTAACGAATCGGGAACAATGGGGAATCAGGACAAAATGGCGGTCGCTTACTGGCAAATACCCAAAACAGAATTACGGTGCGCGACACAACGGCGGTTTCCCTAAGCTAACGGATTAAGGCATTAAATAGAGTTACGGGAAAGAAGACAACAAAGGAAAGCAAAACTCCTTACAATTAACTAAAACAAACAGTCAATTACTTCACGTTAAACCGGATAAAAAATTAAAACTCGCTGCAACAATCTCACAAACTTGCCAAAAAGGAAAAAGATCCTTTCTAAATTACGCTCATACCTTAAAATTTTTTTTCAAAACCCACTCGTTGGTGTTGCCGCGTAACACAGCTGTAAATGTTGAGTAACGTGCAAATATAGACCATAGCAGCTATAAATTAGCGAAAACCCGAAGTCTCTAGGTGGCCCAGGGGTCTCGGTCTCGCTGGAACATACAGACAGACGACGGAAATCGAGCGCATAAGCCCTCACTTCGTTGTGTTATGTTAAAAAATTGCCCAAAATACGGAGATGGTCGTCGAAAATTCCGGGCGGCCGGCGTATTCGGTTGATATTGTCTAAAAACTAAAACTTCTTTAATTAATTGTGCTGCCCGCCGACGCGACGTCCTAAAAATCTGAGACATGTTTCAAAATCTACAATAATTAGGAGCGCTTTTAATCAGACGCAATCAGATGCTGTTTGCTGCAACTCATTTAATTAGCAACGGTTAATTAATAAATGGCCTGTTTAAAATCTCTAAATTCGGTAGCCCAGTAATGCCCTTTGTTACCCAGAATTTCGGATCAATCGCAAAAGGTCTGCGATAATAAAATAAACTGCACGACTTTGCAGCTCTAATGCCCGTTTGCGTTTAGATTGGGAAACTAAAATGTGCGCATATGCGAATTACGCAATATCATTTTTTTTACTTCTGAAAAATTAAAAAAAATTACTAGTTCTAATAAAAACAAAACTAATTTGTAGTTGCAGTAATAACAAAATATCCGTGCAATCCCACACAATCCTGTATAATAACAATAAGAGAAGGTTTGTGCTATCAAAAAAGTAATATAGGCGCACCATATGCTCTTTTTGCGTCAAATTTACAATGGTAAAATCAAAATTTGAAAATATTCGCTCCCTTAAAAGATACGGGAAAAAATCAACAAATTTCAGAATGACCCTATACTATCTTAGTTAACCCGTTTTCGCCAAATAATTCTACGGGCCTATCGAAACCCTGTGTATTTTAATCTAAAATTAAAATATTAAATTCTCTTTTCAAAAATATAACAAAAAAATCTATATCGATTCAAAAAAATTAAAAAATTCAACAATTTTTTTTAAAATTTGAAATCATTTAAATTGATTGTTTAAAAAATCTTTTTTATCTTTTTGAATGTGTTTCACTCACTTGAAACTTTTTTGAATATCATCCCTGGTGTCTGCCTATCTTTTTATATGTAAATATACAGGGCGTTCCATTTAAAAAACAGATTTCAACAAATATCTACTCCCTGCATCACCATTCCATCTGATACAATATTAAGCACAATTGACGCAAGTCTGTCGATGGTATATACCGAAATCGATCGCATATAGAAACAAGTATTAATTGTGCACAACTCTTGTGCAGATAAAGCGCATTTTTTTAAACCCAAATAGCTTTTGTTTTGACATCACCAATGGATATATTTCTTGCAGACATCTCAATCGCCCTTTGTGAGTACTCTCTTCCGACAATCCGTTCTTGAAGTATAAGGGAATATACCCGATCACGATAAGAGGTCGAGGAAGAGGGCTGTGGTTGGTAGAAATTAATTGCTTTCGTTGAGACCTTACATTAGAGTACCATGAAGGATAAAACTAGTTCCAATCCCCCTCCCCCCCGTACCTTAAAAAGAGGACAGAATGAAGAATCGAAAACGTTTCCTTTCGTTGAGACCTTTAATCACTGATCTCGGAAAAGAGACTCGCAACAGCATCTCAGAAAATAATTCGTGGGGGGGGGGGGCATTTAGACAGCGAAATTTGATGGCCGTCTGGCACACCTTCAAGGCTACCTACTGCAAAAAATTCCAGGACTTTCTAGGACCATTCACCTAGAAGTAGTTCAAAACGGTAGAAGTGGGTCCGGACGGACGGACGGACGAACAAAACGCAAACAATAATACATTTTTTAAATTCTTAAAAAATGCGCTAAAAACAAATAAATTTTATATATTAGCAAACAGCGTAAGGTAACTCGATTTTTATTAAAACTTGTAATAAACATTTTTCTGTATATATTTTGTGCATACAGGGTGGACCAATAGTGCCTGGGTGGAAGATTGTGGGTTTATTAACGCAGATAATTATTTAACATTAATTGTCGGGGCATGTTGAATGATCCTTAAGGCTACAATCTAAAAATACGACATTGCAATTGTTATACAGGCTGATTTATATCAAAATTGCATTTTTTAAGTACAAACCCCTTGTACTGTGACTTGACCTGTGACAAAAAATATGTAAAATATACCGTTAGAAGGATAATCCCATATTTGATGCAATAAAAAAACTCTGTAGTTCCATTAAAAAGAAATCAAGTTACCTTGGACTGAAATTTTGAAAATTGACGGAGTGATTTCGTGTAGCACAACAAAGTTTTCGTTGGTACATTTCATGATTAGTATCACTGCAGTCACGGCCTGCTAACTTTTAGGATAACTGCGATATTCAATTTTTATTGGACATCTACTTTTTGAACAAAATTGCTAAACGACTCATTTTAGACATCGTGTAATACATAAAGTCGCGCTAAAATTGACCAAGGAATCCAAATATGCAATAATATACAGGGGGTTCTATTTAAATAATGCAACTTTGATATGAATCATCCTGTATAAAAATTGCAATTTCGTTGAAAATATTTTGAAGCCCACCTGTAAGGGCCATTCTGAAATTGACAATTTTTTCTCGTACCTATCTCTTAAGTGAGCGGATATTTTCCAATTTTGATTTTACCATTTTAAGTTTGACCCAAAAAGAGCACGTGGAGCCTATACCGCGAGCTATACTGTGTGTCTCAGGCTGAACGCACCATAGGGAAACGGCGAAACGCGAATGATCCACCAGGCCTTTGTTACGTATTCGAACTTCGTTATTGCGCTTGTCTGATGCGAGAAAGGGATTGGAGTAGTACGTTGAAAGTTACTTTCAAACGCCTCGTGGATCATTCACGAAAAAATACATTGCCTATGGTGCTTGGTGGTGGGACACACTATAACTTTTTTGATAGCACTAATAATTACGGAAATACCCTAGAAAATTATCCACAATCGGACATCCGCATATGGTATTCCTCAAAAAAATGAATTTTATTGGGAAGTGTTGAGGATAATGGTTTTCAGAATGTGGTGTCTCGATGCGAAGAAGTTGATTGAGATACAGGGTGAACTTATTTTTTTAACGGAATTCTTCAGTATTTAGCCATGTTATTGTTTACAATCTAGGGATGTACCTATCACGCAAATCAGTGTTGTCGCTTCTTTCAGTTACACTTATACAATTAATTTCTTCTAGTCTAATAAAGACGTTATTTCGGTCTCAACATCGAAAATAATGACGGGACACCCTGTCTATGAGAATATTTCTATTTATTAAGTGTCAATCTGGTGGATTATTTACGAAATAAGCGTATCGTATATCGTATTTGAATTTATGTCTCAGTTTTTATTTTTCCTTTTACAATTGTTTGTAATTGCGTATTTAATTGTAAAACGTGAAATTGTGTTTTAAAATGTAGGGGACCTCTGGTCGTTTGCGATAAGAAATTGTTATCGGACGAAATTTAATTCTCGCACGTGTTTTTATCGCCGTTAGAAGAGATAACGGAAATGCAGATGTTACGGTGTGCGCGTTACTTCGGCGTACGTGGGGAGGTGTTCCTTCAAAGCTGGGGTTATCAAGTTTGATTGTGATTGGCGGTTGATTTGATCGTGAGGAAGGAGCTTATCTTATGGTGGAAGTGGTGTTTCTTTAAATACTGGAATCCACGTTAGTTTTTTCGCGACGGTAAATAGAGCGTGTAAATTTGTTTACGCTAATTCTCGGGCGTTCAGTCCTACTTGCTAATTGAAGACGCCGGGGCCGGCCCAACCCTGCTTTTAGTAGAAGGCCAGTTATTTTAGCGCACCCCCATCCCCATTTATTTTTTCCGATTTAATCGTTATGATTGGTTGTTGATTACCTATTTGTAAATTATGATTGTGACACTGACAGAATTTAGGGAGTAGAATAAATGGATATAAAACCAAAGTTCAGAATTAAAAAATTCACTCACGCAGAAATCAACATTTCACTTTCTGGGGGGCCATTGCGAAATTTTCACATTCTACGTCACTCGGTATCAAAGTCTCCTACTATCAATCCGTTACATAATAAATAAATCTAGGTAAATAAGATCCTTTTTAGTATTATTAATCCATTAACAGTGTTGTCATAAACACGGTTTACGCAAGAGATGATCGTTGGGGTTTTAGTTTTGAACTTTCAGTTTCGGAGGTCGACGCTGTGGAAATTGCTAAATTTCGATCGAATTTGCGCGCGATTTCCCCCCAATTTGACAGGCGGAAACATTCAGGTAATGTTTTCAATTTGCCTCGTTACCGAAATGGTTGCGAATCTATTTATTAGTGGGTACTGAATTAGGTCAATTTCCCTATGTGTGTGTTCTTATCAATTCGAATAAATATTTTCATTTGAACCTTGAACGTGCACACAACAAATCTCCCAAGATAAAAGTACTCAGTTTGCGTTTAGAAACACGCACCGGCTGTTGTTGTTTAGAGAACAACAAATTGGAAAGATATCGATCAAAGTCGTCGCCTTCATCCAACACCTGAAGGTAAATCTTAATTAATATCAATTTAAAAATAGAAAGTCGAACATCCTCCCACGTTATGTTCGTACGCCGTACGGGATATTTATAATGCTTACTTCTGTTACCGCATGTAAATGTTTGTGAATTTACATTACAGGTAGTCAAGTTATGTAAACATTTTATTGCAGAATATTCAAATAAAATGAAGTTTCCATACGACCTAGAACTAAATTAGTATAAACTTGAATTGAATGGGTAATAGCAGTCTTTCGTTTTCTTGCAGGGGTCCTGGACATGACTGCCACGGAGAATACCATCCGTTTCAGTGTCCACACCCTGGACAAAGCAACCAAAGCAAAAGTGACATTAGAAAATTATTACACTAATCTAATCGCCCAGCATGTCGAAAGGAAGCAAAGGTAAGATTCAACATTTCGTTTTATTTTTTCACTATTTTGACGTCGTCTTCTAGTAGCCTGTAAAGTTCTAAACTTGAGCAATTCCTTTATAGTTTGTACATACCTATTACGAAAGTTATGGTTTATGATAATGTTTAAATGCGTATAAATTAGATTCCCAGCCTAAATAAATATAATCGGAAAATATTGGAAGTGCAAAATTATACCAAGGATTGCCATGATTCCATAAACCTCCCTCAAAAATTTTAAACTGGCACTGACGTCACAGAATGACTGTTGTGACACTAGCAGTGAACCCATTGTTGCCATTTTGTGACGTTACGACCACAATGGTCTCCTTCCCTATAACGTTCTACGCATGATTTTCTCTCGATTTGTGTGCCTCAGTGCAAAAACGGTGGTGAATATCTTTGTACACCCCATAATTTGTTACCATTGAAAAGTTCAAAGGCTTCCAAATGATCTTTTGTATTGGAGGATTTAATGGAACATTGAGCTGAATTCATGTGTTATTTTTCTTCCCCGTGTGTTCCATCGAAATGGTTTTGGGTATTTCTCTTGAAAATGGACACTGGATGTTAGATAATCATTATATTTTATATCTCGGAATAAAAAAAAACTATTCCTTCCATCAAGGCTTTTCCTTAGAATTCCATCAAAGGGTGCAATATGACAAGCTTGAATGTGGCTTTTTCGAGGTGTAACAAATATTACACGAGGGAAGTTTTTTGGTATATAGCTAGCTATGAAAAGAAAGGCAAGATTAAACAACATTTTATTTTTCAACGTAAGACACTTATTTCAATGTTATTGTAATAGTCTTCGTGAAATAATGTAGCGGTAGCTCTAAATTTGGATTTATTTGTTAATTTTTTAAAATGTATTGTCTGCACAAGACATATTTCGAGTTCGAAACGAATATCTCCATGACGAAGTGTCGGAAGGGGGTACTCATAAAAGGCAACTTGAACGTCTGGACGAGACACTACTAGAGATGTCAAAATGTTTAGTGCAAAATCTGCAGAACGGGGTGTCGGAGGAGGGTATTCTCAAAAGAAGTTGAAAGTTGTTGTTAAAACTCTTCAAAATCTCAAAATCACTTCGAATATCTATTCAAAACCTCTTCAAAATTTCTTCTAATTTTTTTAAAAATTGCTCTTCAAAATTTCCTCAAAATCGCCTCAAAATCTCTATAAAATATGTTCAATATCTCTTTAAATTCTTTTCAAATCATCTTCAAAATCTTCAAACTCTTCGACATTTCTTCAAAATCACTTCATAATCTTCGAAAACTTTTTAAAATCTCTTCAAATTCTCAAAATCTCCTCAACACCTTTTCAAAATCTGAAAATCTTCTAAAATTCACCTCAAGATCTTTTGTAAATCTACTAAAAATCACTTCTAAATCTCAAAATCTTTTAAAAACCACCTCAAAATCTCTTCCAAATCTCAACATCTTCAAACTCTCTTCAAAACCACATCCAAATCGCTTCAAAAACACATCAAAATCCCTTCAAAATATTTTAAAAATCGCCTCAAGATTTCTTTAAAATCACCTCAAAATCTTCCAAAAACCCCCCAAAATCTTCAAAAAATCTCCTTAAAACCATCTCAAAATAACATCAAAATCCCTTCAACATCATCTTAAAACCACCTCAAAATCCCTTCAAAATCTCTTAAAAATCTCCTCAACACCTCTTCAAAATCTCTTCAAAATATGAAAATCTCTTCAAAATCTTCTAAAAATCACCTCAAAATCTCTTCAAAGTTACCTCAAAATTCCTTCAACATTTTTTCAGAATCTGTTCAAATTTTTTTCAAAATCTGTTCAAATTTTTTTCAAAATTTCTTCAAAACCTCAAATATCATCAAGATTCGAGGGCTAGGGCACTTTAGGCATTACATATCATAAATAAATTACAGTGTGTCGAAATTTAGAGGGCCGATTTTGACTAGTGAAATTTCAAGAGTAAATCTGTAAACATTTGGTGGAATTGGAGATTGTCCTTTGTGCGGTAGTGTGAGAAATGCCGAATTGGCATATTTGGGAAGTACGTGGGATTTGATTCATTACTTTAGCTTTTATGTAATTAATTGGTAGTGCAAATGTGAGGTAACGAATAAATTATTAAAGATGGTCGTTTGCGTTAATAAGTCGCCATTTTGTGTGGTGATCCGTTAAGATTTTTGGATTCATTTCATTCGCGTTGGAGTTACGGAAGTATTTCGCCCGATAATCTAAAGAAAAATTTATTGGGGTGGAACTGTTCAACTAGTTAGTACGTCTACTTCTTTGTCCAAGACATTAGCATTATTACGAGCACTAAACGCGAGATTAGTTCGGGTTTTGGGTTACCAGAGCAACCATAACGTGATAAGAAGAAAAAAGTAAACTCGTTTGCAGAGGGGTCGGTCACACAAAATCACCTAGTCGTGATTACGGGTGTTTGGTTTTTATGGGAATGTAAAATTTAAGAACGCGAGTTCCTTTAGTTTAAAGTGTATTAATTCTATCGTGTCGGTTTCATTCACGCAGAAAAGTACGAATTATCACGAAATAAAGAGAAAGTAATAAACAGTTAACGTGATCGTCGTGTAGTCGCGTTTCCGTCGCATGATAAAAGAGATCCGTAGGCATGATCCAGGACAAACTAATTAAGCGCGACAAGATATTTTCAGAAATAGCTATTCTTAAGAATTCAGTGTAGTTGTTTGCTCCCCGTGAACTATATCTTCGTAGTTGTAAAAAATGAAATGAAACAATTCCCGTAACACTTGTTAACACTAAACCTTTGTGGTGATAAAATTGTGGCTTGCCAGTAACTTTTAAACACCGTTAAAAAATTACTCCCAGAAAGCATTTGCATCATTTTAAAATTCACCCAGGAAGTTGTTTGGACAGCAAAGTTCCAAGTTGCAGCTCTGTTGTGTATTTTTTCCGGAGTCATTACCTCTATAAACAAGGTTGTCTCCAGCCTAATTTTTCTATCAACATCGCCCCGTGTAAAATGGACGTCTTATACATATAAGGTACCGTTATTCCATTTAACTTATGTAAAATTAAAGGTCTGAATTTTTAAGAAAAACATCGTAAATTATAATTGATTGAAATAAGCAAAAATTTTGATTTGTACGTTCTTAAAGAAATCGACCTGCAGCATTAGAAGCTTTTTTTGTATTGCATGTATTTTTCCATTTAAAAACTTTATTCGAAGTGGATTTCATAGATAGTCAGCTTCTTATTTTAAGTTTGTTTCGATGTTATATTTTAGGTTAACTCTTGTATACAAAATTGTGGCGTATATTTGTATTTAGATTTGATATTAAGTTCAGGTTAGTTCAGAAAACCGTGGCCACGAAAATTAATCGAGTTAATTGGAAATTTGCAAAGAAAATTATAAATAGTCAAATCTGTAGAGGGAAATGTAATTTGGAATTCTTTCACTATTTGATTTTTTTGTCCATAGATCCAAAACTGTAAGATAATTTTGTATGTGATTTTGCGAGCAAGCAAATCAGAAAATCAAAGTTTGAAGTCAATTTTCAGGAAAGTAGAAAAGGACACATCTTCTGTATGTAAGTCATACTAAAATTTGTGTTAGGAGCTATTGCCAAAGAATTTTCATTTTATTTCACGAAGGTTTTAGCCTCATAATGCGCAAAATTGTGGCGATAATTCTGTAAAATGCGATTCTATACCATACCCATTGTTGTCATTTGATGGAAAGCGACGCCCTCGGAAGCGCTTTTTGAGTTTTGGAAAGAGATAACAGTAACAGGGAGCCAGATTGGGAGTTGACGTGGAGTTGATGTTTTAAACCTGTAAGTTGTTGTGGATGTTCTAATTTCTTAAACTGAATTTGTGCGGTATGCACTCTGCAGTTACGGTACAGAAAACACCCCAGAAAATTGTGGGCATAATTTTCCTCCAAAAAATTGCGCCTTTGGATGGACAGAAGTCTTCATTTTAGGGGTAAAGCAGTAAAATTCTACGGCTAGTTATCATCCCTCCACTAGAGTGGAGTCTTCTTATCAAAATCACGTTCGCGCGCATTGATTTCAAAACAGGGCAAACCGAAGTGAAGTGTAGAGGACTAAATTTTCTACATAAAAAAAGTGCCGGAAAGCATCTCTTATCTTCAATCGTTTTTGAATAACAAACATTTAAATATTTTTAAATACGTGCTTTTTTTTATCCATTCGTATTCGTGTTTTGCGTTGTTCGCACGTTATTTTTAAACGCTGCGAAAAACTTTTTTGCCCAAATGATAATCCATGTAATTTTGTACAAAAACTCTGCGTCAGCTAGTGTATCTTAACCCCTTTCCGTATTATAAGATAACACACCATTTCTTTCGTCGAGACGTTTCAAAAAACCACCACACTAATAAGGGCTGGTGGGGGCGCGAGACTCTGCTTTTACTGTATTGGCAATTGCAATTCAATATTATTGTCACCTCGGGTCATTTCCGATACTGGCGGGTGGATTTCGAAATCGGGCATGTCAAACCAGCGGCCCGTCACGATGTTTGCAAATTATAAAATTTAATTGTACCGTGTGTCCTATTTTGGTTGTGACTGCAGTGTATCTCAGGTGTTTTTAAAGATAGAGACTTGCGGTTTTCGCGAACCTGTGACACTTTTTTGTGAGACCACAGACAGAATCAATCTAGCTTCGTTTGTTTCTGAGATACAGGGTGTCGGGCTGTCGGCTCGTGTAGCGCAGTTCAGTTAAATCTGGACTGCGGTGCTAAGGGTTGCTGGTTCGAATCCGCGTTCGGGCATGGATATTTGTAAATGTATAGTGGGCTGGGTTAGTTGAGCCACCTGAAACCCTGCCCACTCAAAAATAAAGGCAACATAAGTAAATTAAAAATTAAAAACGAAAAGTTTACCTTTTTGGGGCGTTATCAGATCTTACTCGAAGTTGGGATTTATTAAATACAACACCCTGTATATTTTAACATCAATTTTGTGTGTGTTCTTTTTCCTAATCACATTGATGTATCACAACCTGTAGTGTTTTAATTTGAGCGATGAAAATCAATAATAATTTACTCTTTCTAAATAGTAGGCCATGGATTCATCGAGATTTTGATTTGTTTATTGTATCCATGGTAACTAAGGCAGCCGATATCAATCAATAAAAATAGCTGACGGTAGAAACATGTCATTTCAAAATTTTGGAAAATATGATAATATAATTAAAAAAATATAGGATGATACATCAATGCAATCACGAAAAAGAATTCAAAAAATTGTACGTTAAAGTGTTGCATTTAAAAGTTACCCAGTTTGGGTCAAATCTCAGAAACGTTGGTCGACAATTTGTTTTGACTACGTCACTACTAGATTCTACGTAAAAATATCTAAAATAGGCAGTTCTCTCTTTTAACCACCCGTACGCTAGTAAAGGAGGTATTGCATCGGGGTAAAAAATGACCCCCACTTTTTTACGGAAATACACGTTTTGAAGTACCAGGAATCCGAATCAAACAAAATTTCGATATCAGTGAGTTTGTGGATCTGTCTGTACTCTCATTTCCGGGAACCAAATTTGGTACCCATATTTTTAGACATAAAAGAAAGGGCTGTATTTTTTCGTGTTATTGTATTATTAATGTGAACTTTTTTATCATGTGGCCCGCAGCTATATGTGCATGGCCCTTGATGATAAATGAGTTTGACATGCCTGCCCTACATCAAACGCTCAATACTGAGGAGACAATCGCAAAAAAATTGTCAATATTTCGAACTATTGTATTGTACTACTCGTGTATGGTCGGCTACTTACGAATGTTAATGCAAACCTCCCAAAAGTCACGCTTAAATTAAACATTGCGAAATTCTTATTCGTATATTGTTGTATTATTGTAACCGCCATTTTAAATTTTATTTTTGAGTTTATTATAGAGTAAGAAGAAGTACAGAACTATTTATTTTTTTAAGTAAGTTAGCGACGTTTTTGTCGGCATTTGCCGGTTTTTGATGGTTTCATTGTGTAATTATTTTGTTATTATTATTTTAATTATTTTACTTGATCTTTGTGAAAATGTAGTTAGGGTTGTTTTAAGTCCCGTTGAAATATTCTAAAAGCCGAAAAAAAGTGAAAAGAAATTTGATTCGGCTTCAAAAAGCACCAATATATTGATAGGTTCTTTTAAGTAAATTTAATTGTATGTTGGTAATAATATTAATAATAATAATACTAATTTTCAAAAAATTGTAAATAACAATTACAGAAACGTCAAACGTTGGTAAAAATGCTTTGCATCAGAGTATATTTTGCAACAAATATCGTAAAAAACTGGGTATTTTACGTTTGTGTCTTCAGTTTTGGGATATAATCTATATTCGGCGCAATACGATTTTTCTTTCATTTTGTTTTGCTTTTATTAGTGGAACCTACCATAATAATTTCGATTAAATGACTCTTCAAATAAGAAAGTTGTCTATTGCGCTCGTTTGTGTAATCTCGTTTCGTTTCATGCTATGGATTGCATACAATTTTACACAAATTCTTTTCATTTACTTTATACTTTTTATTTTTTAATTTTGATTAAATGTTTTGATTTTGCCAAGAGATACGCTCGGCTCCGGCGGCTACGCCGCCTCGCCTCGCTCAGATGTACATCAGTGTATAGCTCGCCTTCCGCTCGCAGTATTTATTCAATACTTCTCATCACATTTTTGAAACTGGGGCAAAATTGTTACCTTTATTTAAATCGCATTGGAAACGAAAGCTGAAACTGGCACCCGTCAATGTGGAACGATTTATTATTCTCGGTTGTCCTTATTTTGTGTTTGTAGAGGTAATTAAAACTTTTGAAGAGAAAACCTTTGGAGGCTCATAAAAACTTTTTAGGCATTAAAGACTATTGGCGACCTCTAAAGGATCAAGTTTCACTATTCACAGGCAAAAAAATTCTGTTAGAGTTCAATTGAACATCAGTCACCCACAGTAGGTCTAAAGCCCTGGCGCATTTACCTCCCATTTGGGCGACCGTAGATGTGTTAAATGTTGGGTTAAATTGCACCATGTTCTAAAGCTAAACGATCATCCTAATAATTTTTTTTTTAATTTCCAGATTAGCAAAATTAGAAGAATCGCTAAAAGATGAAAGTCTCTCGGAGGAACAAAGGCACGAAAAGCGACTACAGCACGCACAGAAAGAAACGGAATTTCTCAGGTTAAAAAGATCTCGATTAGGCGTAGAGGATTTCGATCCGCTGAAGGTGATAGGAAGGGGAGCGTTCGGCGAGGTCCGCTTGGTCCAGAAGAAGGACACGGGTCACGTGTACGCCATGAAGATTCTCAGAAAGGCGGACATGCTGGAGAAGGAGCAGGTGGCGCATGTCAGAGCCGAACGTGATATATTAGTGGAGGCCGATCATCAGTGGGTCGTCAAAATGTACTATAGTTTTCAAGATCCTATCAATTTATATTTAATTATGGAATTTCTGCCCGGGGGTGATATGATGACGCTTCTAATGAAGAAAGACACACTTTCGGAGGAATGTACACAATTTTATATTGTGGAAACTGCTTTAGCTATCGATTCTATACATAAGTTAGGTTTTATACATAGGGATATTAAACCGGATAATCTTCTGCTCGATGCGAAGGGGCATTTGAAGTTATCCGATTTCGGGCTGTGCACTGGGTTAAAGAAGTCTCATCGGACAGATTTCTATAGAGATTTAAGCCAAGCCAAACCGTCTGATTTTAGTAAGTCACACCGCTCTCCGATTTCTTTCAAGTTTTTTTAACATTAATTTTTGTGCAGTAATAACCTCCAGTCCAATGGATAGTAAGAGAAGGGCGGAAAGTTGGAAGAAGAACAGACGAGCGCTTGCTTACAGTACCGTGGGCACGCCGGATTATATTGCGCCAGAAGTGTTCTTACAAACTGGATATGGACCGGCTTGCGATTGGTGGTCGTTAGGTGTAATCATGTACGAAATGCTAATAGGGTATCCTCCGTTTTGTTCGGAAAATCCACAAGATACTTATAGGAAAGTTATGAATTGGAGGGACACTCTCCAATTCCCAGCTGAAGTTCCGATCTCAGAAGAGGCCAAAGAAACTATCGTTAGGTGAGTGACGTCCTGAAAACATTTCTGGAGTATGTTGAATAATCTTCTTGCAGGTTTTGTTGCGAAGCAGAAAGGAGGTTAGGTTCCCAAAAGGGAATTGAAGAATTAAAGCTAGTACCATTCTTTAGGGGGGTGGACTGGGAGCATATACGTGAAAGGCCGGCTGCTATACCAGTAGAAGTCAAATCAATCGACGATACGTCTAATTTCGATGATTTTCCAGATGTTAAGTTGGAAATTCGTAAGTATCAATTCTTGATCCAGAGATTAAATTAAAAAAAAAACCAATCTTGGAATATTGAAATTTTGGAAACTGGAATTTTCAAATTTCTAAAGTGTTTGTAGTTGGTGAGGATAATGTCTTGGATCTTTAAATCTACTTATGGTGAGGTTTTCATGTTTTGGAATCAAATGGCTAGATTCTAGACGATTCGCGAATCAACTATGTTCAGCTCAGTATGGATCCACTTGACCCACTACATTTTTTATTCTTTTCAAGGGGATGTTTCGTCCAAACTGATATGATTTAGTTGGCAGTGTCCAAGAAGTAAGCCCACTAACAAGCATAAGTTGTTTTGAAGAATGTCCTGCCTTGAATTTTGAATTTTCAGTTTGAATTAGATCTTCACATCGTAAAAATAGGTTGATACTATAGTAGGATTTTCCGTAGTTTGCACGCACGACATGGGTGTATTATGACGTCATCACTAAGTATGTTTACATAGCATCATACAGACAGTGCTGCATTACATTAACAACTTCCATTTTTGTTTGTTTTGGTAGTTATTTGTAACAGGTCATGATCATTTACTAACAAGGTGGCCGTTATCATTTGGACGTAAACGAAAAAAAAAATTTAATTGTTTTTTCGTAATAACAACGCCCGCAGTACTTAGCAGCAGAAGTCGAGACGCGACTGCAACTTTGACATACCCCATACTCACGAGCAGAGCCACCGTGACTTTCTTGTCAAAACAACGGACGTTTCGCGGCACTTTCGAATCTGGGTAGCAGTTGGTTCCTTTTATACACAAATGGGAAAGAAAACTCATAATTTTGTGCGTAAGAAAAGACGAGAACATCTAAAATATATTACGCACACAACCAGGCGATGTCAGGAAAACCTTCTTCGGGACAAAAACCCCGGCATAATATACGAACTAAATTAACAAAGACAACAAAAGCAAAAGAAGATCCACAAAACGAATTTCAAGATCATAAGACGATTTTCAAAAAACTCCTGAAGGTCATCCGATTCGCCCCCTAGCGGTGACTTTGAAAACTAGAGGTCACAGTCATCTCCCCCTGACGGCGACATCGAAAACTAAATAGACTTGTAGAATCGGAAGGGAAGTATGCATTAGAGAAGTTTCCAGTATCCACGACTGCACAGTTGTCAAATTTTGTGTTTACGGTTTGCAGAAACTGGTATTGTTTTTTTTTTACTACTTCACGTACTCTTTTAGAATTGTTTTAAGCACTACCGCAATTAAACTTATATTACCAAAATTGTGGAGGGGGGAGTTTATCAAATCCATCACCATAACTGCTTTGTTCGATTTTACTACAGAAACGAAATCTATGGAGCGTGGTGATTTCCCATGGTCCTCTTATCCCTAAGTTTAAACTGAGGTTAATGACAACATCCACCCACTACCACCCATCTCTCAGACAAATCGTTATGACCTTTTCAATGTCGTAGGGCTGTTAACCTTTAGACTAATATTTAAGTGTTGCATGACATTGACAATAGAAAATCGCTTTATGAGAATGGGCACGACTGCTCAACATACGTTTATGATATTATTCAATATGTTCGAATGATGGGCTTTATAACCCGCTTCCCCAAGACTGGAGTACAATGCGTCCACACCCCTCCACCCCATCCATTCCTACGATAAATCTTTGACCTTTATTTGGTTTTCAATGTTGTAGATTTGTTACCTTCAATCACCTGCAAATGACTTTGGGACCTTTATTTAGTTTTTAAAGTCGCCACCAGGAGGAGATGACTGCTACCTCTATTTAGTTTTCAAAGTCAACGCTAGGGGGCGAGTCAGATGACCTTCAGGAGTTTTGGAATCCGTCTCATGGGATTCCCATATATTTCACTGGGGAACAGTAATTTTGCGGCATGGCAGATTGAAGTCAATTCTGTATCAGACTAGTGTGCTGAATACTGGAAAAATATCAGATTTGTTAAATTGGCTCCAGTTTTTGAGATAAAAACTATTAACTATTTCAATCAAAAATTTTAGTAAAAATCCAATTTGCACTGAAAAAATACTTTTATTAAGTTGATCTTTAGGAATGAAAACAAACAAAAATATCTATGCAGTTGACTGACGAAATTTAAAAAAAAATAATCTTTTCTAAAACAATTTTGATATTGTGATATTCTTCTTTTAGTGTGGTAGTATGCCCGATTGGTACCGAAGCAAACTTATTTCCATTGTGCAGCAATACACATTTCAAACTTCTTTTTGAGCTATCAATAAAAAGTCTCCAATGTTCAGGCTTATATTCAGGAAGCCCCATAGAAGTTAAGAGTCTAGAAACATATTGTTACAAAATACTAAATTGTCTTCTTTGGTAAAGTAAGGAAGAAGCTTTTGTTCTCTCGTTCTAAAGGATGTAATGGTAACACCAGGTTGAAGACAGTGTTTTTCTTTTAGCCTCGAAGCAAGAATTTCAGCCGATTTTTTTGGTAAATTCAAATCACGAACCAAGTCATTGAGATTTAAATATTACCGAAGGCGACTTGATGTCAATCCTTTTTTGATCACCGCGGATACTTAAAATAAGACGAACTGATAATTTCTGTCTAATAGCTGATCAGTGAAATGTTTACTACTAAATCCATGAATAGACAACCAAACATAGTTGGAAATATTCAAATAAATACAACTTTAGAAGGGTAGTTTAACATTTTGCATTGATTTTTTACGTTTCGTTTATCCCAAGAACCAGAATCAATCCAAAAAAACTAAATGCATATAGTGTATATCAAATACCAGTGTTTATAAAATTCATTAATAAAATGAGTGCCGCAGACATTTTTATTTTTTTTTGTTCCGCTGTGTTTTCGATGGGATTGAAGCGCAATGGTAGAGAGGCAACCCGTATCGCATCTCCCATTTTATAATGCCATTTCATCAGCAGCATACCGTTTTGGTTTTCTTCGGAGTTTTTAGTATCGAAACTAAAGTATTACTACTAATAAACCATGCCGCATGGAATTTAAGGAAACAAACCGTGCAACTATCTCCAGCAATTCCACTTTCAATGCATCATTTGGAAACTCAACATTTTTGTGCTGTGAGGCATGCCTGTAGTTATTGCAGGAAGATGGTTCTTCTAAATTTGGTTGCAAATGGTCCCCGAACCACTTACTAAAACTGTCCTTGTTTGTTCCTATGGTAATCTGGATCGTTTGTTTTTGAAGCAAAAATTAATGATGGTCCAGAAATAAAATAATGCCTGTTTCGGGCATATAAAACAACATATCTGAAATAGTTATGAGAGAATATTGTTCTCATCAATACCAGTACTGGACTCTTGATAGTAAATCCATTACACCTTTTCTTGGGTTATCTTTTGGACCAATTAAGGAACTTTTACACCCATTAAATATGTTTTTCTCTTTTAGAACTTGCAAAAGGGATTCAAGCGTAAGATGTTGTTCTAAAATACAAATGCTTGTGTGAAACCATCAACATCTCTAACGGGTTTCTTACATTACCTTGTTTATTAGGATGTCCTATAGGTTCGACCGATTTAGAAATTTGTGAAATAGAAGTCGCTGTTCGCAACTTTCTGTGAAATGAAACTTGCTACATATACAAATTCTTATGTTACTAAAGTAACCCCTCATCTCTTATGGTAACCACCATTATTTGTTCCTCTTTCAAAGGAACGAATAAGATATGAAATAAGTTGCTTACTTTTTCTTGCTAAACCCGATGCCATTTTTGCATTTATTTTATGGAAAAAATACCGCACGAATTTTACTAATAGAATTTTTGTTTCAGCTGCTGCACCTTTACCTCAAGACGGTGAAGTGTCTTATAAAGACTGGGTATTTATAAACTACACATTTAAAAGATTCGAAGGTTTGACACAACGAGGCACACCTACTAAGAAATAGTTCTCTTTTAAATATTAGAGATTACGCAGAAGTTAGCTTGCAATTAAATGTGCCCTTATTTATTTGAAGGCTCTTATTTTTAGAAAGCGATCCCTCCCTCGTTTTGACCCCTTTGTTGTTTTCGTTTTTTCTAAAAATAAGTTTGTGTAAGCTCAAGGGCGGGTTGTATGTAAATGTGCTGTGAGCTGTGAAAATGCAACGTGTTTGTAATGATAAAAAGTGCCGCCGCCGTTGCGTCGCTGTGTTATCATTAGTTATGTATCGCGTTTATTGTTTTATTGTTGAAAATCGATCACCTACTACGTCTAGAAAATTTTTAACTTTTTGATGTGCATGCATGGTAAAAAAGGCACAAAGATAGAATTAGTTTTCCAACTGTCGAAGTTTACGTGATAAAAAATGTCATCCTTGGTTTTTAGAGCTTAATTGTATTATAAAAGTGTAAAGGTGCCGGCGGAAGGCTTTTACTTCAGGTTATATATATACATAATGTAAAAATGCTGTCTAAAAACGTAGTATAAAGTGTAAAAAAATGTTGATGAAAAAGTAATATAGTTTTGTACAAAAGCCTGGTGTTCGTGTAGATTTTTGGGTATGCAAAGCGCGCACGCGAAGTATTATTTTTTTGTAATTTCGTTTCTCTTCTTTCCGTTGAACATATCAAATCTCTGCGACTGTCAGACAGTCCCAAAATGCATGTGCAGTGTTCGTACATTGGAATTTTTATTAGATCGTTGACGTTAATGTAGCTCTCTACACACTAATGCACCAAGATCTTAATGCAGTTACTTTTCTCTTACTGACGTATTGGTGCAAAATTTAGGTAGAAATTATTTATCACGCAATTTGTTATTTATTGAAGTTTGTATTTTGTAGAAAATAAAAAAAAATGCTAACAGTCTTCTGTAAATATGTTTCTCGAAAATGTGCATAAGTAACATGAAAATTTACTAAACTTATAATTGTTTTATTTTGTACCCTTTTGACATTTATTTTTCTAGGTAATTGCCAGCCTACCGTCTAGGAGAAATCATGTTCCAGCACCACGTTGTTAAGGCGTAATTTACGTTAAGATGTCTGCATTCTTCACCCAAAGGATTTCCAAGGTTTTATATTAATACTCTGCTGCAAATTAATTTCTTTTTTCGTAAGGTGAAAATTGCAACCAGAAAACTTTAATGTATGGGAAATCCTTTAGTAAACTTAACTAACTAAATATGAACGTAAATATCTGATTTTGCTAACAGTTTTCTTTATCATAATTTCACTTTGCACGGGATATTAGAGTATCTCTTTCTAACTTGTGGCACATTGTGGAATTTGCTGAATAGCACGTCGTTTATAAATATGGGTAGTGTATTTATCTAACTGAATTACGATTGCGAGCTTGTTACCTTCCTTGTGATAATTTGAAAATATTCCTTGACCTAAGTCTGTATCACGTCAATTCTTACTGAGATGGCACTTTTGTGGTAAACTAATGTGCGCGGTAACTCCACGCAAATTCCGCCAAGGGTAGCATGCACTTTTTCTATTATAATCCAAAATGGAAACTTCACTTTTTTCGCGTAATGTTTCCACTGGGGCAAAATGATAAATTTCCAGAACTAAGTACTGGATAGTATGGACACTTAACGTCGCTTTGAACTATTAACTTTTTCTTCTAAGCTTGATTATAAAAACGCCTTACGTACAAACGCAAAGCTTTCGTATGCCAAAACGAGACTATTGATTTCATGTAGGTACTACTATTTTAAAAGTTTATTCTAGCAATGTAATTTGTTTCGACTAAATTTCCGGCCAGTCCAATCTTTATAATATGAGCAAGTATAAATTATGTTAAACAAACTTTTCACAATTTCAGTGATTTATTTTATGTTCCTTCCCTACTGCACTTCAGGTCATAACGTTGCTTACAACAAACCTAAGGAGGTCCTGGTTTAGATGTTGGGGCATGTGTCATTTTTCGATTTCAAAATTTAAGCGGGATCTCGTTTAGTTTTGGAGGGAATAGTCATTCTGGTGGCCATTTTTAAACGTTGCCGGGTTGGTTTTATTTCAGTGTTCTTGTAGTGTGAAGTTAGTGTAGAACCTGGGGGTTAAGTACACCATAATCGCGATCTCGTATAAGACTTTGACAACCTTGCATTTGAGAGTAGCTGTTTACGTTATAGCTACTATATAAAAAATACAGTAGCTGTAATTTACGTCATACGTGCCGTAAATTTGTGTTACGTGAGCAGAACAGTAAAATTGAAATTTTACTTTCATTTTGTTGTTCTGTGGTTACGTGTCTACTTTTTTTTCATTACATTTGCTCTTGTATTGAGGCGGTTGCACATCAAACGTAAACGGAATCATATAACCATAACAAAAATTCGGAAAATTGATGTGTGTTCACATCGTGAACGTTTATGAACCAGTCACCCTGTATATAAAAGAAAGACAGACTTTTTCTAACATCCCGATCGAACAATGTTCGCAGCACACTGTACATACAATAATTTCTCAAATAATTCTATGGTTGTGTAGTGGCGCCATCTACTCAAATTAAAATGAGGAATGTTTTGGTGTGGTCTTTAACCAGATTTGTGACCTATAAATAACAATGCTGTAATTTATTAATTTAAAAATATTTGTTTAACATATTTTAGAGAATTTTAAAATGAGGTGGTGAATGTCCAGTATTCTAAATATAAACGGGAGTGTTGTTTTTAATTCTTTTGGTGTTAGTAGGTCTGTTTATCCTAAATAGAAAGTTCTTCCTTGGTGGTATTGCATAAAAGTCTATATTTAAAAATGGAAGATATATTTCACTGGTGTCGAGAGGGAAACGCAATGCAGGTTCGAGTGTGGCTCGATGATACGGAGCATGACATGAATTTGGGGTAAAGATTTAATTACCTACTTTATGTGTTTGTTTATGATGCATATTTCAATGCCGTTTCCTTATTTGGATACATTTACTTGTAGAATAATAAGTAGCTACCTACTTTCGAGCGTGTGGGACTAAATCTATAAATCTGTAGCATTTTCGTTAGGGGTCTTCCCTACTTAACTGTGATATCATTGAGGTTTTGTTTCCTCTACACACTATGAGCAATTGTTTCGATTAACTTACAACTGAAGGGTGAGTCATTGCCCAATATTCCCTGTTTCCCCATTATACTTTTTTTTCGATGAACTGGATGCAAAGATGCTAGATAGTGTAAATTGTAGGTTCACAGAGACAGGGTGGTATCTCTTTGCGACCCAAATCCCAATCCGAATGAAAAGACACGGTTTAATTGTAACAATGCAGGTGTACTTAGTTTAAGGTACGTTTCTATGAGGTAAAGACAGAAGTAAAATGTTTCCTGATTACTCCTCCCTTCCACCCCCACATCAAGTTACATAATTTTTTGTTACTACCTATCTATGTTCTTATCATATGATTAATACACTGTTTAAACTGCCAATTTTGGGTAACTGACAAATTTTGATTATAAGAGAATGTGTAGACATCATAGGATGGCACAATACAAATTTAATACAATTTTCAGTTGTTTTTTTTTTAATGAGGTTTGCCTGATTTGTTGAAAAAGGAAGTTGTATTGTGTGTTGCCTATAATATAAGCAATCACACGAAAGGGTATTTTCATTTCTCCCTTAAATTGAATATTCTCAGTGGTAATGGACGGTTTCAACGAATTTCATCCACCCTGTACATGATAAACTCGTGATAAAATATGTGCAGTAATTAATTGTAACAATTTGATATACAGGATGCCCCATTTTCGATACTTTTATAGGGTAGGTATCTCTGTAACTGTTAGTGCCATTAAAAAAGTAATATACTTAGGCGTTATGTACTCTTTTTGGATTAAACTTAAAATCTCGCTTAAAATGGTAAATGAAAATTTGAACAGTTTTGCTCGCTTATGAGATATGGGGGAAAATAAAAAAAATGTCAATTTCAGAATGAATTTATGTTTTCTTGGTTAAAGGAGGATACAGAAAAATGTGTATTGCAAAAGTTTCTTTTTAATGATTTTTGAATTTGAATAATACCTATTCCGTTTTTAAAATAAATATACGGGGCCAGGTAAAAAGTTATTGGACCCAACCACATTTTTTAAATATTAAAAATTAAATGAATATTAAGTTCTCTTTTCAAGACTGTAACACTAAAAATATTCAAAAACATTCAGATTAACAAAAATTAAAAAATCTTTTGAAATATTTTTGTATTTGAATAATAATAACAATTATGTGTGCGTGTGCGTTCAGAAAAATTCTAGAAAATTCTAAAAATTGGTAGAGTTTTTAAAAAAATTGTACAAATTTTTAGAAAATTTTACAAAATGCTTGTAGTGTACACCAAAATTCTACAGTGAAACCTTGGGGCAAACCCGAGCCATTTCAAAATTTCTGTACACTAATATTTTAAAATTCTAAAGCTTCTATAAAATTCTAGAAAGTTCTAACAATTGTATAAAATAATTGGGTGCGTATGCGTGAGGTAAAAAATTCACTATTGATTCAAACACATTCAAAACATTTTTAAAAAATTTAAAAAATCTTTTTGAAATTTTTTTGAATTACCTATTTGAATTTTTGTCTAATTGATTCTCCGTAACGGTGAGAGATACGGTGTAGGTTAAATGGGGACAAATAGGGGTTTGTAAAAAAATTTTGTTTGAAAAATCTTTGAAAAGATTTGACCTCGGATTTGACCAAAAAGTTTGTCAAAATTTTAATTTTTCGTAGCTTCAATGGCAGGAAATGGACAGTTTTCGTTAGCACCCCCTATGGGCATTTTTTCGGAGAATCTGAATCTGCCACCAGAATTTCCATAACACGCTAGATGGAGAAGCTACAGGCTACCCTCGAGGCTACCACTTTCTTATTTGTTAGGGACGCCATTTTGGATTTTTACTGAATGAGATAGAGGACAAAAAAAGAAAAATAATGACGTGTTCTATATAAATTATGGTATAGAGTTGACACTGGACATTTTTCTTTCTTTGTCCTTTATCTCATTCCATAAAAATCCAATATGGCCTCCATAATAAATAAGAAAGTAGTTACCTGTAGCTTCTACATCTAGCGTGCTATGGAAATTCTAATAACAGATTCAGATTTTTTGAAAACAACTGCTCATAGAAGGTGGTAACGAGAATCGTCCATTTTCGAGTTTTTTAAGCATTTCAAATGTGTTCTTTTGGTCACAAAAAGGGGTGTTCGTGTACATTCGGAAAAAATTCTGGAAAAATTCTACACAATTTTAGTAGTGTACACCAAAATTCTACAGTGATTTTTCCCTCAGGGGAAATTTTGTATACTACACTAAAATTTTAAAATTCAAAATGATTTAATTAATTGTTCCACGACTTCATCAAGGTGGAGTACCCAAATTGATGAAGAATTTAGAATTTTAAAATTGTATTGTGCACGAAATTGACCTCGAGTGGAAAATCGCTGTAGAATGTTGGTTTACACTACATACTTACCAGCATTTTGTAAAATTTTCTATAATTTTTTAGAATTTTTTTCCGAACGCACATGCACACACAATTATTTCATAAAATGTTCTAGATTTTTTTTAGAATTTTATGATACTCAAAATTTGAAGTTTTAGAGTAATTATACGGCGCCAGTCAAAAAAAGCTATCGGGCCCAACCTCATTTTTTGTATATTTTAATCTAAAAGGATAACATATTAAATTCTTTTTCTTTAAATATAACACTAAAAAAATTCTCTTTTGATTCAAAAACATATTGTTTGTATCATTGGAACTTTTTTCCAATTTGTTAAAAAATTTTTAATTTTTTTGAATCACTTGAATCATTTTTAATATTAAAAATGAGGTTGGGTTCGATAGCTTTTTTGCCTGATGCCGTAAAATTACTCTAAAACATAGGGATAAACCACTGCAAATCTTGTGTATATTAACGTTCAAATTTTATAAAACAATAATATTGTATGTATGTGTGCCCGGAAAAAATTCTAAAAATTCAAAAAAGGTTCTAAAAATTGTACAAAATAATTATGTGTGCGTATGTGCTCGGAAAAAATTCTAGGGAATTCAAAGAATTGTATAAAATAATAATTATGTGCGTGTGCTTTGGGAATAAATTCTAAAAAATTTTTAGAACAGTTCTAAAAACTCCGTATAATTACTTTGAAAACCGAGCGGTAAACCACTTCAAATTTGGTGTACAGGGTGGTTCAAATTCGTGGCTCACCATTGGGATCTCCGCAACGTTGAGAGAGACGTCTAAAAAGTAAAAAACGTTTTTGAAATTTTTGAAAAATTTTGGAAAATCACCTGTATCACAGAAAAATGTCACATACAAGGATGTTACATGCAGTTTGTGGATAATGTCACAAATAGTAATAACAGTTTTTATTGTCATTTATCACACATTGAAAAAAACCTATTGTCTATTTTATGGTTATTGTAACTATGCCGCGAATAGTAAAGCGGTTTTAAAGCATAATCGACGTAAGGGATTGTCGGCGAGTTGTAAAGTTGTACGAGCGCGCTAGAAATTAAATGATAAAATTGTAATTTTTTATTTGTAATTAGAAAATTAAGTTAATTGCGTGTTCAAGCTAATTCAAGACAGCCTTGGATAAAATATATAGTGTGTCGATTTTAAAGGCGGCTAGTGGGAATATGTCGGAATCGTGACAGTGGCGAGAAACCAGGGTAAAGTCGGGGGAAAAGTAGGAATCTTGGTTTTTTCACTTGCTGTCGTTTTATAATGTATGACGTTTTAGTTCCAATAAGTTACGCTAGGCCTGCTAATGCTTGAGTATAGTATCAGCAACTATTTTTATTATCTGCACTTGCAGTGATGACCATGGGTTCAGTCCACTTCATTGGGCCTCTAAGGAAGGTAATAGCAAAATCGTTGAACTTTTACTGCTGCGAGGGGCTCGCGTTAACGCCACCAACAGAGGAGATGACACCCCTCTACATTTGGCATCCGCACACGGCCACAGAGACATAGTTTTAATGGTACCCGACAATCGTCTACAAAAATCATGATTGACGATTTTGCTTTCAGTTGTTAAGACAAAAGGCGGACGTTAATTTCACGAACGAACACGGTAACTCCCCGCTGCATTACGCGTGTTTCTGGGGCTATAGCGATATAGCCGAAGATCTACTGCACCACGGAGCGTTGGTGTCGATCGCGAACAAAGACGGCGACACGCCGCTCGACAAGACGCGTAGAAACTTGGCGAAGACCCTGCACGACTTGGCCGTGGAAGCCGGACAGGATCTTAAGAAAATCAAGTTCAAAGACCAAAGTTGGCTCGGTCTGAAGACGAGATCGCGCGACGCCACCCTTTCAAGGCACAAGGGCATAAACATCAAAGAGCTGATTCTACGCGACAAAATCGCCAGTTCTCCCAGTGGCGAAACGTACAAAGGAATATGGCAAAAGAACGAAATTGTCGCAAAAATTCTGGCAATTCGTCACTGCACCTCGAGGGTGTCTCGAGATTTCAACGAGGAGTTCCCGAAACTGCGCATATTTTCGCATCCGAACGTTCTACCAGTCGTCGGCTGTTGTAATTCGCCTCCGAATCTCGTCGTTATTAATCAGTTTATGAGTTTGGGCTCCTTGTATAGCGTGCTTCACGAAGGAAGTAGTGTAGTCGTCGATACCGCGATGGCGTTAAAGTTTGCCTTAGACATCGCTCGAGGAATGTCGTTTCTGCACGGTTTGGAACGGATAATACCGCAGTATTACTTAAATAGCCGTCACGTAATGATCGACGAAGATTTAACCGCTCGAATCAACATGGCCGACGCGAAATTCTCCTTCCAAGAGAAGGGCCGCATTTACTACCCCGCCTGGATGTCGCCCGAAGCCTTACAGAAGAAGATCGGCGATATCAATTGGGAAGCGTCGGATATGTGGAGCTTTTCCATTTTGCTGTGGGAGCTGGCGACGCGCGAAGTCCCGTTCGCCGATCAGTCGCCGATGGAGGTCGGAATGAAAATTGCGCTGGAGGGACTGCGAATCGGCATCAAACCGGGCATCTCGCCGCATTTGACGAAATTAATCCGAATTTGCATGAACGAGGATCCGGGTAAACGGCCGACATTTGACATGGTTGTACCGATACTTGACAAAATGAAACGATAACTGCCATTTGTACATGTTTTTTTTCTTGTTATTTATTGCTCGAGTGCCTTTAATATTGCCTTCTAGATTTAAAAGAAATAATATTTTTTGATAAATGCTTTACTTTTTTAGATCTAATGTTCAGTATTTTAACGGCGATAATATAAAGATGGAGAGTGGTGCTTCCCTTTAATTGTATATTTGCATCTCTAAATGTTTATTTACATTACAGCCAACGTAATTTATTGGGATTGGCGAAGATACGAATTTAATTCTAGTATCAAAATATTTCTAATGTCATTAACTTTTACTATGTATGTATTATTATAATTATTCTTACCTATCCAGTCTCTCATTATCCACTTCATCTTTGATTGTAAATGAAAAGTATTGCAATTGAAGAAGAGTTTCGTCCATTTATATGTTGATGTGTTGTGTTAATATTTGGATTCAAAAACTTTTCTTCCAGATTTAATAATACAAGGAAATTTCAAGCTCTGATATCTACGCGATATATTGCTTCGTAGCGAACATGAAGAAAAGTATGTCTGGTGATAACAAGAACCGTATTGGGGAAAGCCGGCGCATTCGAGGTAAATTTTCGCCCAAGATCATTACGTTAGGTACGCGAAATTTAATTCTAGAAGAAGTTACAAGTGTGATTTCAAGAACCAGAACGCGGAATTAGTTGACACAGTTTATTTAAATCACTGTAAAGATTAGCAGAAAAAATATTCAGTAGTGAGACATTCGAGCACGTCATGGAGAGACGGTTAAGCAAATTCGGATTTGTGAAAAATGATGGGTTACTTGCAATTTTTTAACGTGTGCGAATAAACGAATTGCAGGGGAACAAATTGTAGCAACTTGATTCAGTAGGTAAGCAACACCGATCTGGGACCACTGACCTTGAGTTCTGCGGATGGGCCAACTACTGCGCATATACCAAATCACTGAAGGTTATCGTAGTTGTTGTCTAATCTCACTGAAGGTCATTGTGGTTGTTGTCCTGAACTAATGTCACTGAATGTTAGACGTAGATGTGAGTTCTGTGCCCTGGCTTCAAGGCTGATGGCATTACTCGAGTACATTTATAAGCCTCTCTCCTCACAAGACATGTGCTAAAGATGTCGGGCATAGCAAAGAGCTATCTTTGTTGTGATGGCTGTGTGACAGTTGATAGAGTTTTATTCCAATGCAGAATCGAGCAATTTCATGCAATAATTTCTCCCGCATTATAAGCTAATCATCTTGCAGCAGCATACCCCTGTGGATTTCAAGGTCATCAGTTAGAAATAGTATAAGGTGTGCTGTGGCGATGCTTTCAGTCAGTCCCCGAGTCAAAATGGATCTAAACTCACTAAAGAACATTACATTCTGTAGAGTGTTCAAAATGTTACGGTTCTATGAATACTTCATCGTGTTTGATTTTAGGCTTAGGCAGTAATCGTACTGGAAATTGGAAAGTTTTGGAGATGTCCAAAACCGCAAAGCCTGCATATATATGTTTGTTGAGAAACACAATCTAATCGATTCATTTCAATAACCATATCGTTATCGAATAAAGGTGCGACTATGAAAATTTGGTTTTGACACTGATGCACGCGCTCCATTACCGACCGTCCCATTTCGTTACTAGACGTAGGTACATATCCTTATACTTTCTCACGTTCTCTATTAATTTTCCAAATACACTGTTGACCATGAGATGCCCCAACCTTAACAACGTCCTGTGAATATGATTGTCGATACGAAGCAGATCAAATGACCGCGTGGCTTGGATTGGTCAAATAAATAGATTTAACATGTGTGTTCATGGTCTTTGATACATCATGTAGGTTACACAAGCTGCCAACAGAAATCTGGTGGGATTACAGAAAAGGGAAAGAGAGCGAAGATGAGACGGATGGAATTTCTTGGAAGACGACATGTGTTTACAATTTCAACACCTGCAGTCCACTTTTTTCTTAGAAATGCGTGAAATGCAGGGAATGGGCGATTTTGGGGTGGTTTAGGGGTATTAGCAGATCAAATTACCGCGTGGCTTGGGTTGGTCAAATAAATAGGATTTAACATGTGTGTTCATGGTCTTTTGTCTTGTAACCGGCTGAAGTGTAAAGTACGGCTTGTCTTGAAATATTTTGTTATACCTTAATCATTGCTGTGTGCTTTTGCTTTGTTATATCAGGTGAGGTATTTGCTTTATTCAATTAATCTATAAATGTGTGTAACTTGAATGCAGATTGTAACCCTTTATTTATGTACTTACTGAATTCAATCACTTGTACCTTTAATGTGTAACCTTTGTTGGTATTGGCAATCATGTTTCATTGTCGGTAGGGCTGTATCTGTGCTTTACATACTTGCATGTGTACATATTTAATTTGTGTATTGTGCTTTTTAGTCACTCTCGATTATTCCATTGCATTTCATTATATTTGCTTATTTGGGACTGTGAGTAATCAAGAGGGAAGTGTGCTTGTTTAGAGGGGATCGAGCTATTCGAGTTTATACGGCCTTGGTGAACCTAACACTAACATTTTCACTCGTTCCGAACCCAACAACTTTAGCCCAGGTTTACAGGGACCCCACTGGGCCTGGGTACTCCTCCCGCCCGGCGAGGTATATTTGACATTTCTTAGTTTTGTCCGATGTATGTGTTGTAATACCTGGGGAATGGCTCGATCCCATTTTGGTTACTCATAGCGTGTTTGTAGTAGTTACCCCGGTTTCGAGAGGGCTCAAAAGTGCTGTACATTGGATGTTGTTCATTATAGGACTACTCCGAATTAGGTTTTCCTGCAGTTTTCCTAATTCGTAAGGTAAATGCCGGAGTAGTATAGAACCACTTAAGACCCTCTGCAGGGGCACCGTTTTGGTATTAGCTTCAATATAAACTTAATCAACTATTGCTTTTGGTGTTCCTTACCCATAAAACGCCCTCAGTGCCTGCTGAGAACCCAGTTATTACACAACGTAGGTGTCCTACATGACGATCACGATCTTAGTGCACTCGGAGTGGCCCCAGAGTGACAGATTCTCGCGGGAAATGTAAGCGAGAGTATTCAAATAGGCAGCCATGTTAGTTTGGCATTCCCGCCACTACCGAATGTGGTCCAATATTCCAGTGTGACTTGAAGTTGGCGTTAGCCACCGAGATAGTAGGAGGCTAAAATCATCTCATCATCACAACCATCAATTTGAAAAAGTGTATTTCGAATTCGTTTAAAACCTGTATATCCAATTACTTCTGTTTCTGATAAGTCAGTTCTTGCTAAAAATCTGGAAGCCAAAATTAGCCATAATCCGCCACCTTATACGGATGTATACTTAATCGATGGATTTTTTATATTACATTCTAATTTAATTTAATCCTGCTTTCTTTAATAAGGGAAAAAAAGACCACTAACCTTGTTGAAAAAAAATATTCCATTTCAAGGAGCCTTTACAGCTTTAGGTGATGTGATGTGATGTTTTTAAAAGCAAAAAGCATTAGTTTTTGTATTATTGAATGTTAATTAATTAATAATTTTTGTTCCTGTTGAGCCACTTTTCTGAAAATCAGTAGCGTCCGTCCTTAATGCCCAAAGTACCCGTATACCAAATTTGAATACGTCTGCCACTTTAAAAAAGAGTGCTATAGCGCGGACGGACGGACGGACGACAATACAAAACTATAAAGGATCTGAGGATCCTTAATACTAGTAGGTAATAGTAAATTCAAGAACATGCTGATTAAACTGACATAAAAGTAGGTAATTACTTACTGTACACATACACATGTATACGTATGCTCGAGCGGTACTTTATCTGTCTGCCATATTGTTATATATAACCGATGAAAATGTCTGCCATGATAAATGTAAGCTAGAAATACTGTTAAGAATAACATATTTAAATTTCAGATTTACTGAAATATTTTTAAATTTAATTTTTTTTTCAATTTTGAGAAGCGTCTGCCGTGACTTCACAACCGCCATAACTATCTGCCATCGTGATTTTCCAATAAAAGAAATTTAAAATATACCAATGGCAGCTTTACTGAAATACTTTCGAATATGGTGAAATTTTTATAGCTGTTTCATCCGAGCGCCACTCAACCTACCTCGATCTGGCTAAGCTAGTCCCCCACTCATGAACAGTAAGTATAAGAGAGTCTTTGGACAAAATTGAGGGTTTACTGAAATATGTTGGGTCTGCTTTTCACTGGCTCTTAGACTACTGCATTTGATCGAATTCGGTTAAAAGTTTCAATTTGACACCGGTAATTTTTAACATGGCCTCAAATGCGAATACCTTCAATGCAACAACGTAAAGAAGACAAACTCGATATGTTGCCAACCAATAGGAAGCCAGGATTTTCCCTTTGTTGGATATTGCTTTACTGACTATGTGTATCTCTCGAAATCGATAATCAATATCTCCTTGGACCATGACTCTCAATAACCGATTAAAAAAAGTGCCGCATTCGGATTGGTAACATTAACATAGGTCACTCTTGTTCCGCACCGGTCGGGAACGATCGACGAAGAAAAAGTCATGATAGACGATGAAGATGATACTTGACCGCTGTGTTGCATGTGGGGCATTTGCTCCGAATATAGCCGGAATTACCACACCAATAGCAGCTCAGTTTGTGAGCATTCGTCGAGGAACTTGTGGTACTACTTAGCGCATGAGTTTCCGAGGATAATTTAGACGGGTGTGCGCGATTGGCCTTATTGTGTGGCCAAAATGATGGTAATATTCGCCATTTGGTCGAACTTTGATTGTTAGGTTGGTACACGAACTTATAAATTAAGATGGACTGCTGATCAAACAGTTACGTAGAGGTAGAAATGGCCCTAGCATGAGCGCGGCCATGATGTGCACGTTTTAGTTATTTTCTAGGGGAATTTTCTTAATGCTCTAGTTTTGAGACTATTGCAGCCTTGGAAAATGGCATGTGTCACAGTAATTTATTTATAAAACCTGAAGTTAATGCTTGTTTATTAGTTGATTTGAATTTCGCGCCAAGTGAGTGCACATCATGGCTGCTGTCATTTGTCAATTCAGCATTAGCAGTCCATCTTAATCTTAGATTAGGAAATTCTTTACTCTTTTACTTCTTTACTAAGATGCAAGTTGGAGGGAAGCATTTTCTTCGAGGGCACGGCTCTTATTAATAAGATCGCAAAATCGTTGATTTGGTCGCGTGGGAGAGGTTCCCTAATGCGGAGACCAAGAAGACTGTAGAGTGTAGATCGTGTTCAGCTTATGTGTCTCCTGCAATTCTGAATCTTTTGGTAAGCTCGCTGCTCGATAACAAGGCATGAGTATTTGCGTCCGTTGGTTCAAGTTCACCTTGTTGTTTTGTGTTGTGGCAACATTGTATGCGTGCACTATGCACGCGCGCCACCTTTCCCTGTAGGTATAAAAGGAAAAGAAAATGTAAAATCTCTCTCATTCAACCTACAGTGTAATTCATTTTTCTCTAATCTCAAAACATAGGGGGTGCTTGCGACCGCTTTCAGAAGGTCGACCGAGAGGTCGACTCACCCTGTATAGTATAAATTTATTGCTTAAGTGCCAGAACAGAACACCCTGTATGTCTTCGCAATAGATCATACAAGTTGCTTAACTTTTAAACTTTCCTATCATGATTAGGGTCGATTATACAAAGGCAGTTTAAACCTCGTTTGGATTAAGGCAGATTAGTTGCAGTTTGACATGTTAATTCCGAGCGAGGTTGTACAATTGGCCCTTGATGATTAATCACCAAAACACAGAATAGAAATAGCCAATGGGAGCAGTCCAGCAAATGATTTGTTTATAATCCCATTTATCTAACCCTCCATCCCATATTATAAATAATCCTGCCCAAATAGCAAAATACACAACGTGTTAGTTTTATAACAAAATGAAAGCTTATATTTTGGGTTGCTTAACACTTTTATTCTGGGTATGTATCTACGAGGATCCCAAACATCTAATTTTTTCCACTTAGAGAATCAGGGCAGATTTTTCCAACGAGGACTGCTGGGTCTTGGGATTCAATAAGGCAGCTTTGCTATGCTCCTCGTGCGATTTACTCGACAATTTCAACTTGGGTAGCACATTAAGGTAAGCCAACCTTATCACCGCGTCCATTAAAAAACGATTGGTCTTGCAGAGAGCCGTGCCTAGAATGTTGTCACCACGACGACAACGTATCGGTCACTAAGAAGTACGCCAAGGCAATCCTGGAGGTGTGTACCTGCAAGTTTGGCGCATACCCGCAGATCGAAGCGTTCATTAAAAGCGATCGTCCGTCTAAGTTTTCCAACTTGCAAATTAAGTACATACGTGGCTTAGATCCTATTATCAAAATGATGGATAAGGACGGTCATATTCAGGAAACTGTAGCAATTGAGAAATGGAACACTGATTCTGTTGAAGAATTTTTAAATACGCATTTAGAACTTGATGTGGCTGAACCGGACTATTTAAAAACCAACATGATTTAATACTGGCTCTCTTTTAGTAAAATTGTGTAATATATGGTTTTTAAAATTTTGTTTAACAAGGTATTTGATTCAATGTATAATTTTTGGCTTTTAGAAGTGTTGTGGGCTTGCGTGCAAGCAGTAATTAGTATCAGAACTTGCTCAAATTCGCCCATTTCAGTTTAAGTAGAGGCCTCTATGCGCGAGCTATGTCTATTGCTCTGCATCATAATTTTTAACGAATTTTTCAACATATTTGAGGTAAATCTTGGTGCATGAAAATAGGCAACACACATTTCCTTGAGCACAGGAACTATCTTTCTCTCTTGGTCACTGTTTGGGGACGCAGCTATAAATGCACTACTTTTAACTTTGGTAGATATATCAGGAGCCCTTTCACAAGAGATATATATATTTTATACAAGTATAAAAAATGTTTTAACATTACATATGCACACATAAGCTTTTTCATCTTGTGCACAATTTTGTCTTTAAACTCAACGCCCATACACCTTATGACTAGTGGCTCTCAAATTCAAGAAACTATTGCGGTAAATACGAGCAACAGCAAAGATAATACGACACCTTTGGTTTGGAATCTTGTTTTTAACTGCATTCGAGAAAGCATTGTACATTTTATGTTTGTTGTTTTTTGTGTCATTTAAATGCAAGTAAAAAGCAATCTTTGCATTTCTGTATCATTTATTTGTGCTTTGTATGCAACATCTTATATTTTTTATAATTTTTCATCTGTTTTTGAAATTGACTTTGATTTAACCTCAATGCAGAATCACGTCTTTGATACCGCTATTAATTTTTAGTTTGAATTCACGTTTATTTTTGGTGTAAACCAACGTCGATTACTAATGAAAGGTAAAAATTGTTGAAAATTATTTTGTTGTAATGTTATATAACGTAATGCTCCAGGATAAAAATGAACAGCATGGGAAAATCGGAAAGCATAAGAGATACACAGTCGGTTAAATTTAAAAAAAAGTTGTGGATTTTAGCTTTTAGTGCTTAGTAAAATGATGTTTGAAACATTCGGAAATTCCGATAAGTTCCTAACATATTAAAAAAAACAAATAACACTTCTTCATAGTCACGTTTTAAGCTCTACAAGATTGTGCCCACAGATTTCTACTGCGACGTTTCGTCTTTGAGAAACCATCATCAACTTCATATTTTTATATGGACCAGTAAAAAGTACATACCTATACCACAGATATACGTAAACGTATATCTGTGCCTGTACTGTATATTGAGTAGCATTTTTTTTATTACTAATACAATGGTGTAAGCTCTTTCCTTCTCTAAGGGTGTATGGCACAATATGTGGTTTTGTCCGTCTGTTCCTCGTCTAACTCGAGAACGAACAGACAGCGATGTCAAACCTTCGCCAATCGATTTCTACGGGTTCAAGGATCAGTGCTATTGAATATGTGAGCCGGATCAAAACTCGGTTACGAATACGAGCAGAGTGGCAAAAAATTCCCCTACTGAAAATCGTATCTTGGCTGCTTTTTTCATTCAATCACTTCAATTTAAGATATGGATTTTCAACTATTAGAATGGGTCCGATTAAAAAAATGCCTATAGGCCAAAGACTATAAGATTCCATCAACTAATCCATCTATAGGAATACATGTCAGGCTATAGTAATCGAGCACAGTTAATTTGTGCACCACAGAAGCCCAAAGGAGTACCTAACTCAGTAACTGCATTTGGCACATTGTTGTTGGACCTACCACCGAAAAACATCCTGATAGCATAATAACTCGGAATGAGTGGCTACATAGCATGAACCAGTGGCAATATTTATGAGCACCTGCAGACCACATCAACAGTCAAGATATAATTAGGTGTCAGTGGGAATTGCATCTGTGGCTGCTGGAGCACTTATATTATTCACCTATAAATCAAAAATAATAAATACACTGCGACCTAACTAAATACCATGGAAGAAGCCCTGCGGAATACCATTCACTACTTAGCTTCAATGTCAAGCAAGAAGACAGTAATATAAATGGTTAAAATAACTGACAAATAAATGCTGGACCTTTATTGGTTAGTGTGAAAAATACAAATGGCAATAACTCAAATACGTAAAATAAACATAATTCTAAATCAACAAAACATACATTCTAATACAGGAGAAATAAATAAAAAAAATCTGACAAAAAACAAACACTATAATAAAAAAAAACAGTAAAAAGATTAATCGGTTAAAAGTTTTACCGTATCATTCACTACCTCAACTCCCTGTGTTGAGTATAAGCAGTGATTAAATTCTCTGACCAATTTCGGAGTCTCTTGGCCACCTTTCATCTGACAGTATTTCTTGAGGACTTTTTTCTGAAGCTTTGCTATAGAGATTGTTTTTTCGTCTTCTTTAAGGCACAGTTTTATCAGATTTGTCAATTGCAATGCACGAGCGGTGTGAGGTACCTGGGTCTCTTTCGTGTTGGTACCCTTGCTCTTAGTTTTGACACTTTTCTTAGTTTTCTTAGCGTGGTCGGGTTTTTTATGTGTGTCTATCTCCTCTGTCGGATCAGATGTTTTTGCTCTTTTAAATTCGTAGGAGTTAATGTCGTTTGCTAACGTTCGTTTCTCTTGACCCATGGTAGTACTTGTGACTGTTTCTTCCTGCTGAAGTTTAGATTTTTTTCGGTTTTTGCCCTGTGTTTCACCCATGTTGACTGATTCCGCATTTGATTGTTCGTCGAAATCTCTTTTCTTTTGTTTTGTATAGGTGGGGGTTATTTTCAACTCTTCTGGTTGGGTAGTTTCACCTTTCTTTTGTTTTTTTCCACCCTACAAAGAATAATTTGTTTTTCTATATTATTGTTCAAGTCGTCAATTTTCCTTTGCTTACCTTTTTTTTATTCCCCATTGTGAAAGAACTTTTCTCAGTAACTATTAAACACTACAGGCAACCCCTAATAAAATATTCAACAACCACAACGTAGAAACAAAGGAACGCGCTGATTAAGCAATAAACGACAGGCATGCATGCAAAACGCGCGAAAAATTTTAAATTAAAATTGCACGACCACAGAATGCTCATTATGGGCTGCATTCCGCAATTAACATGAATCTTTGTGAGTACACAAAGATGTGAAAAACAGCCCAACATTGTTATTAAATGCAGCTTTTGTAGTTGAGGTTTAACAAATTGTCGGTAGTGGTAGTTGGATCTTTTTTGCAATGACAAAAAGAACGTCTGTATAAGTTTAATTTCCTTTTTGAATGAATGGTTTTTAGAGGTCGTCACGGCTCTAAGCTTCTATATCTTCTTGTCCTTGTCCCTCTAAACTGTATCTTCTGTTCTTGTAACACCGAATCTTTGCAGTCTTCTCTTTTTTTTATAATCTCCAGGATATTATTTTCATTATAGCTCTGGTACCTACTTATAATTCCTTTTTATTGTTCTTCTATCGTCATATCCATCTATATACTCTCTTTCCCCCATATATTCTTTTGAGTTTTGAAAATCTTCCTCTTTGATGGGATCTGTGGTTAAAGAAATAAAGAAGTCTTGCACGAATTGATAAATGAGAGAGATTATAAGAATATACAAGAATAAACAAAAATATATTACACACACACAACAAGGCGATACCAGAAGAAAAACCTTCTTCGATCGGCTATTCGCTAACCTTGGGCGTTGCATCTGTAGTTAGTTCAGTATATTGCGTTGCCTTACCTTCCACTGTGATGCTGATACCTACCCTTTCTTTAATTTTAAAAGAAATAGATTTTTGTTTGAACCACTCAACTCCTTGCTTCAGTAATTTATTTTTATACCAGAAGAAAAACCTTCTTCGATCGGCTATTCGCTAACCTTGGGCGTTGCATCTGTAGTTAGTTCAGTATATTGCGTTGCCTTACCTTCCACTGTGATGCTGATACCTACCCTTTCTTTAATTTTAAAAGAAATAGATTTTTGTTTGAACCACTCAACTCCTTGCTTCAGTAATTTATTTTTAGTAACCCTAATATATGTTGTTTCTGCTATAATATTATAATTGATCCCAGTGTTCACTGTTCAGGAAGAATTGTGCTCCTAGATGGAAGGTGTAAGAAAACATTAGTATATTAGCTGAATGCTGCCCATATTAAAAGTCTTACTTTCTAACCTCAACTTTTTCGTCCGCGCGGATTATCAGTACAACAAAATAATCTAATCCATGTTGCTTCTCAGGCTGTAATATTCTATACATATGCAAAGACCAAAGTAGTCCTACAATGGGAAATAAAAAGGTGAGTGAGAACAATAGCCATTCACCATGCATTTTTGTGTGTATACAGGACTTCGAGAATTATTTACTGTGCTCTGTGATCGGAGCATTTTACTGATCATTTTCAATTACAAATTTATTGTAGGCCGGCAAGAATTTAAAACAAAAGAAGATTAAAACCGCCAAACCACAGAAAAATACTAGAATTGGAAAATTCAAAAAAGGCAATGGACTAAAACAAAAGAAACAAATGGTACCAGAGAAACAATTGAAAAAGAACTTAGGAAGAGAATTGACAGAACACAAATCGATCAAATTAAGTAAGAAACCAAAATTGAGAGAGAGAAAAAGCAATGTGAAAAACTTCAAAAGGAACCAAAAGGCAGAACTGAAAGATCAGAATGAAGCAAGCAGTCCCGCTCGTGGGAGAAAACGAAAACTAAAGCAAGACACTAATAATTCTCAAGAGTTTAAGAAAATGAAAAAGACTGACCCGAACAACTCCAATGTAGAGAGCGAAACAGAAACCGAACCGGAGCAATCGAAGAAAAAGAAGAGACGTAGTAGGCTGAAGAAGAAACGAACTAATATTGAGGGAGCGGATGAAACGAGTAAAATTGCACCCAATGCTGGGAAATTTTTACTGATCAACCTTATCAAAACATACTTAAAGGAGAAAGTGAAAACAATACCCGTGTCAAAAATGCAACAAAGGGTGCTTAAAAAGTATTGCCAATTAAAAGGTGTTGAAGAAAGCCCTAAGCTTGTTAAGGAATTTCATCAAAGCTTGAAATCAACGTTCGGTGTTGTAGTAATTGATGATGTTGTAAAACTTGTAAATCGATAATAATTGGTCTTATATAATCTATGTTGCAATAATAATTGTATGAAATTTATTAGAGATTTGTGTAAAAAGTGTCACACAAAACTAATTTGTATATAATAAAGAGACAGAGAAAGGACCTTATCTCGCAGATAATAAACAAATGAAAATCATAATCAGCCATGGAATTATTGCCATAAGAAATACATTGTAAACTTAAAGGCAAAAATGCAATGTTGATTCTCAAATGAAATATTGAGTGTTTAGTATCACTGGTTTTGTAATTTTTTTTCCTATGAAGTGACTTAAAAATCCAATATGGCGACCATTTAAAATAAGGAAGCTGATACCCATATCTCGAAAACCGTAATTTTGAACAAAAATTGTCTACACCCATTTAATTTTCCCCATCGAATGTTGCAACTTTTACTTGAATCTTTTTTCGATAGCTATCTTTGTTACTAAAATATATTTTAACTATTTAAAAATGTTGTTTTCAATTATCTACGAAAAGCATTATTTTTTTCAAAATATCGGAATATCCATGATGAGCATTAAAAACCAGACAACTTTGTCAATTTAACCGAATCTATGTATAATAATAACAAAGATAGCCATATGATCCTACTTAATTTAAGACACCCTGTATATACAAAATGGTAGTAGAAGTGCACATGGAAAGCACTGTCTTTGGAGTGAGTGCGGGTCTTCTGGCTGGTGGAGCGCGGCGCGAGGTCGAGCTGGTTCTGCAGGTGAAGAGCTAAGATTCTTGAAGTGTAGTCGAAGAAGGAATTACATTGAAGATTTTGGGGTTCTGCTTTTAAACGTTAGCGGCCAGAGAGTAGAGACGCTACGCTCTCATCAATTGACGGTTTTGACTAATAAGGGTGCAGCAGTACGTTTTAGTTTGCTGCTGGATGTGGAAAGCGGCGCGCCGCCACATTTAAAAATGTACATCAGTATACAAATAAATAGTACAAAAATAAATAAATAAAAAACGATATTTACATTCCCATACTTCATCTAATAAATCATATCTACTTATTTCCTAGCTAGAACCGTTCCAGTCTGGGCGTTTTATCAGTTGGTAACTATCATTACATTCAAGAACGGACGATGTACAGATTTTGGATCCAATATTTCCGCTGCAAATATTCTTTGAAGTTTTGACCCTTCCCTTTGTTAGATCTTTTTTTTGGAGGCCCGAAAAAATTTTCTTATAGAATGAGGCCTGTAGAATCCATAATTTCAAACAGTTTGAAGATGGGGCTACTAATTCAAAAGTTACAGCCCTTTGAATTTTCTTTCGAAAATGGTTTACTAGTCTATAACTTTTGATTGAGAAGTCTGATCGAAAAAGTATGAATTGTTTTGGATTCTACGCACCAAAATTAATAAGCAAAAGTGTTTTCCCGAGAAATTTTGGTGCAGTAGATTTTTGGTAAAAAATGAAGGTTATACACTGCCTCTTTTTGAGGCTCGAAAAAAAAATTGTCTCAGATCGACCCGGAAAAAAAATTTTCTTATAGAATGAGGCCTGTAGAATCCATAATTTCAAACAGTTCCAAGATGGGGCTACTAGTTCAAAAGTTACAGCCCTTTGAATCTTCTTTCGAAATTGGTTTCTAGTCTATAACTTTTGATTGAGAAGTCTGATCGAAAAAGTACGAATTGTTTTGGATTCTACGTACCAAAATTAATAAGAAAAAATTGTTTGAAAGCAGACATCTGACAGTCAAAAGTGATCTTTCCCGGAGCAAATGTTCGGTGGATGAGTATTTTCGCTTGTTTTTTTTTGCTTTGCCTTTGCTCAACTAAAAAATTGCAAATAAGCCGAAAAATATTCACAACTGCAGACCAAGTAGGTAACTATCCAGGATTGATTAACCTAAAAGCGAGGTTTAAAAAAAACAAAATAAAAATATAATACTGTATTTCCTATGTTAATATAAACAGATATTCGGGATATTTAAACTAGACAATCTACAATTTCTCAAGTATAATTAATTTAAACGATTAGATCTAATTAAAATCGAGGTACAAATATAAAATGTACATGAATTTCGCTCGAAATAGAGATCAGTACTACCAAATAACTTTCGCGAAATACTAACGAGCATTTAAAAGGCAAGTGAGTAGACTAGATTTGTTTATTATATACCATGAGAAGATGAAGCGTTAACAGAAGTTTGAAAATCATACAGGATGATCCACAATTTAGTTAAAGATTCACACAACCTATTAAATGAAAAACGTGTTGTGGTAACCAATAATTTTTCGATCATTCTACAATAAACAAATTTTGACGTGGACCACCCTGTTGTCATACTAATGGTAGAAGTCCTGGAAAGTAATCATAACTTTTGAGTATGATCACTAGCAGTCTCTACTGGTCATTTATGCAACTAGTGGCTTCAAACTGAAACTAATTTGCAACATAGTATGAATAGTGAAGCTGAAATACAGTACCTGTAAAATTCCTGATGCATATATTCCATTTTTAAATTTGTACGAAATGCATCAAGAACTATATTGCATCTAATAACCCGGTTTTGCCTAATTGTAATTAATTATGTCAAGTTTAGTTCCAATTTTACACATTTTGGTTTAATAAACAATGTAGGTTCATTGGGTTTTGTCTGTTGTTTAAAAATGTACAGTATACAAATAAATAGTACAAAAATAAATAAATAAAAAACGATATTTACATTCCCATACTTCATCTAATAAGTCATATATATTTACTATCTACAACCGTTTCAGTCTGGGCGTTTTATCAGTCGGTAACTATACACTACGTTCAAGAATGAACGATGTACAGATTTTGGATCGAATATTTCCACAAAATCGTGCATATCTTGAATGCAGTGTATAGCAATAAACGTTTTTCTACTGAAGTATCTATACAAAATTGAGGTGAGTACTGCGACCAATGAGCCACAACACATTAGGTTTGCTGTGTATGTATAAAAAAGTTAGTAAGCCGAATAAAGCGGAACACGAAAACATTGCTTCTGGTGATTGTCGACAAATAACACGCGATCAGAATTTGTGTAGTGACTTACTTCCTACAAGCTTACGTGAGTTAACGTTAATATGTATAGTGATACGACACGTATTTTAAAAACCTTCACCTCCGCTAATCCACCGTTATTTTTAAACCCGCTTCATTTGTACGATTAAAAATAGTTACACCTTTAAATTACAGTTCAGTATTCGTTCAACTCTTCATCGCTTCCGTCTTCGGCCAGGCGAGTTCCTCGATGAGAGAATAAACTGGAAGAGCTGCAGTTACGTAATCTAGTAACAAAGGAATGATGTTAAACAGTTGAAAACTTGGACCAAACAAAATGTATCAGATTAGTCATGGAAACACTCTACAAAGCTTGGCAGGAGTGGCAATGCTGCGCACTTAATACTACTTAACTATATGAGGTGGTCCTTCAGTGCGAGATTTTTTTGTTTTTGCCAGGTATGGGTTAGAAGGGTTAACCGTTTTAGAGTTATAATCCAAGTGGTCAACTTGTTTTTCTACCCTAAAGCTTCCAGTTAATGGTTTTTGCTTTATTGAAAAAAATGTTTAATTGACCTTCAACAATTGTCAAATTTTTGAAATTTCAGAATTCAGATAATACTCACTTCACATACTCCTAACTCCAATGGTACGCCGACAATAATGTAGAGATGCTAATGTAGGCAAATGTGGCAACCTTTGTCAATAAGATCCTCGCTCAAAATGACGCGGGCGAACTCTGGAACCATATCTCGGGAGAAACAGAGGAGATTGGGTTTTGGCTGAAGAGATGAACCTAACCACAGTTAAGTAGGCGGTGAAGACTTTCCATCCGTATAAATACCCAGGGATGGATGGAATCTGTCCTACTACTACAAGAAGGCCTTGACCTGCTAGCCTCCACACTATGTACCGGGTGACCCAATAAGACTGTTCCTCAGCCGTATCTCGAGAACCGTTCGTCGGACTTAGGGGTAAAAAAATTAATGGGTAAATCGGTCATGAAGAATCGCTGGAAAATATTTTCAAGTTTTAATAATGACCACCAGAGGGCGTAACTGCCATCTGAAACAACATTCAGAAAGTGCAGTTTTTTGAATTTGTAATCTTTTCTAAAATGTCGATTTCTAACCAAGAAGCATTTAATATGCTGGCGATATATTTTGGTTAGAAATCGGCATTTTAGAAAAGATTACAAATTCAAAAAACAGCACTCTCTGAATGTAAACAGCAGAATAATTCACAAATTATGGCTGTTATTATTTTATAATGCATCGTGTTTCATTTGTTTAACTTTCCAAGGCCTACCTAAAAGTGTAGGGTGCTTCTCTTTCGCGCCATCGACAAATACCGGAAATACCTCAAAAATAAATTTAAGATACAATTTAAGCATTTTTATTAATTGGAAGTTAGGAACGAGATTTTGAAAAACGGTTTTCACTGTCCTCTTTGGATGTTATTTGGCTACTTTCATATCATTTCATTTGATTTTTTTGGGATTTTGGATCATAATGTCAAATCTAGCCCCCTGGCGGAGAAAAATACAACTGAATTAACTGAATAATAATTTTCTTCTTATTGCCCAAGGAATGCTCTTTTCAACGATACCAAATTTGTTACAATCGGTCAAAGGGTTAAGAAGTTACAGCAGGTTATTGCAAAAACAATTGAACGCCCCACGCCATCTTTGTTTTTGAAATAACCGAGTTTCTGTTTTTACGAAAATGATAGATAAACTGGTTCTCTTTAAACATGTGAAAAAAGAATGTTTAGTTTATTATGCGAAATTGAAAGAAAATGCAATTTTAAAATTTAAGATGGCAGTTAAGCCCTCTGGTGGTCATTTTTAGAACTTGAAAATATTATCCGGCGATTCTTCATAACCGATTTACCCAATAATTTTTTTACCCCTCAGTCATACGACGAACGGTTCCCGAGCTATGGCCGAGGAGCAGTCTTAATGAGTCACCCGGTACTTTACTAAGGGCAATATTTGCCCTCTATGGCGTGAAGGGACTTAAACGTCATATTCATACCGAAATCTGGGCGAGAGTCATACGACCAAGCCAAGTCATTTAGACCCATCAGTTTAACGTCGTTTCCCCTGGCTACGGGCCTGGATATATACCATGCTAAAACATAGAAGAAAATGCTCAAGAGATTAAGTGAGGCGGGCTATACATCAGTTCCAGTGGTGGAGTAGCTATTGTTGGTGCCCGGAACGGCCCATCAAAATTGCGCTCTCAAATATCCCCCCCCCCTCTCCCTTTCGTCACCATATCAACAGCCTGGTAAACCTTGGCCAATAATGAAAACCAATTTATATACAGGGTGTTTCAAATTGCTTTTCGGCGGAGTGATGCGATTTGCACTTCTCGTTGTTACTTTCCAAAGCTGCATATCGAGGATGTCAATATAATAATAATAATAATATATATTTGACGTATGAGTTGCGCGAACGTGGTAACAGCGCAAATGCTTTCTCCCAATCGGCCGATCGCTTGCTCGTCCGTCCGTCCGCTCGCTTGCTCGTCCGTCCGTCCGCTCGCTTGTTCGTCCATCCGTCCGCTTGCTCGGTCGATGGTTTCATGTCCATCGATTTAAAAGAGAACGGATGGACCGATTACAATAAAATTTGTAGATCGGAGTTCGTGAATTGGTAAGGTAGGCCGCCAAAAAATAAAGAAGGATCTTTTGACATTTCTGTTAAGTTATGAACCGAACGGCATGAAATTCAAACTGGGCATAGGCCACTACCTTTGATTAATATTCAAAGGCCTCTACCATAGTAAATGTAATGTCACCGCTTTGGCACTTTTGATTATGCATCGTCATGGCTTAACTCGTGCAGGTTCTAGTGTCAGCATATTTAAATAAATGATGTCTTTATCCAAGGACAAGTCTGAGAGTCTGGGAGGAGTACTATGCTTGGTAGAAATTGATTCCTTCCGTTGAGACCTTTCATTAGAGTACTATGAAGGATAAAACCAGCCCCCCTCCCCCCCGCTTCTCTTTTGATAAGACGTTAGTACGCAGGGCGGTAATTGGTAGACAACGGTGCCTTTCGTTGAGACCTATAATTAGAATACCATGAAAGCTAAAATTAATCTCCCTCCCCTCCCCACTCCCCTGATTGAAAAGGCGATCTTGCCTTTGCTCTGATCTCATAATAATAATAATAATTTATTACCCAACAGCCAATGCCAATTACAGAGTAATGTTACATAAGGAATAAGCTCAATGCAATTTGTTCTAAAAATAAATAATATCCTATTCAAACAAACATTTTGTAAGAAAAAACGAATGTTTTTATGGAGTGTAACGGGAACCCTTTAGAGGGGTTCTCAAATGTTCGTTAGGGCACCTTAGTTTTAGGGGTGTTTCTATTAGGGAGCGGTTTATTCCAAAATGTTGTTATGTTCAAAGTTTTAAAAGTCAATCGTTTCCAAATGTACCTGGCGATGTATAATTTTATGAGTCATTGGTTTCTGTATGTATCATGACCGGTTAATGGCTTAAGGAAGTTACAGAATAGGATTGTGCAGTTTTCGTGGGAATCGCTGGATTGTAATTTTAAAAACGGCCGTGGGCTGGATTTATGGTCCATGGTTAAAAATGCCCGCGTTCACCTATTAGCACCATTTTGGGGGTCTAGTAAAGTTAGAAACGGCAGGGACGAACCCAGAGAAGAGAGGCATTGGTTTTTGGGCTCCGAAAGCGTCAACTGCGTGGCTCACGTAATTTTTTCGGACGTTTCGCGGCAACCGATCGAGCGCGTCTTCAACGGTTATAAAATTATTTAATAAATAATCCGACATTTTGTGCGCAAGATGTGGAGTGGGTGAAAAAAATTAACAAATTCGCGGCGAAGGACCTACGAGATACATATACTTTATTTGTGACGTGTAAATAATTCTTGTTACAATGTAGTATTTATAAATAAAAGGGTCGAATGAATGGATTACGCGCGGTTCATCGACGAGGACCTACCTGTACCTAAAAGTCAGAGTGGCAAAAAACAGTGGGATGCGAAGGTTTCCACTGCAATTAATAAACCACGTCGCTAACGTAAAAATGAATACCCGCGTATGCACGAAATATAAATCAAGGTTAAATGTGCAGACACCTGCATTCGAAAGCGGGAGTTTAAATTCGAAAATTAACAAATAACTCATAGGGGATAATGGCAAAAAAAAAGTTAGCGTCGGTTTGGTAACGGGATCAAATCCGAGCGGATTTTTTTTTTTTTGTATTTGTGTGGGATATGTCAGGTTTTTTGTCCATAAAAGGTTTTCCTGGTATTGCCTTGTTGTGTGCGTAATATGTTTTATTTGCTGTTGTCTTTTCTTAGGCACAAAAACTCTTCGTTTCATTCAATTCCCTTCCCGATTATATCTCACTTCCCAACACATAAAGGAACCGCCTAATATACACAACCTATGACCTACTTGTGCCACCCGGTCCTAGCCGATGGCTTCAAGTGTCTAGCTGGGGGTCGCCAGGATCATTAAAACTACTTCACCTATTTGGAGTAAACATTTCAATTTCCAGGTGTAGTCATAGTGAGCTAGGATGCTTGAGGCACGCACATAAGAGGTGGCGAAATTTGAAATCTCGCACGATTTCAGCTTTTACACTAAAGATAATATTTTCTGACCACAAGTATCAATTGAAGCTAATCCGCTACACACTTACAACCTGAATCAAGTTCACAGTTGGCCGGCACTAGACCATGTTCACCTCCGCGCTTTTACAGTTATTTCCCACCATGTTCTTAGTTTTTGGAAGAAGGTAAGCGAGAGAATTGGCAATTTGACAACACTGTAATAATATAGAGAAACATATTTGTCTCACAATGATGAACCACTCCTTGTTACAATATCAAGGTTATTACACTATATCAAACCTTAAGCATGTATGCCACTCCCTAAATTAACAAAACACCCAGCGCGAATTATTTATGTAATGTTACCGAATCAACTATTTTGTACAAAGCCACTAAAAAAGCTGAATAATGTTTAATTAATTGAAAGACAGTACAAAGCAACAAATACTGGTTAACAATAAAAAAGAGATACTCACGCAATCGCCTTCCTCGAGAACCGCCATCTCTTCACCGCCGTCCTCCTTTTCCTCGCTAGACGTTGTAAGCAAAAGAAAAGATAGAAAGTTTATAGCCCCCAATAACCGCGGTTTGTTAATTGAGCTACATAAGCCCTTTATTCTACACTAGCAGCAGCTACGAGTGAATCTTACCTAGTGTGGAGGTGCTGCAATTGAACTTGGAAGTTGTCCACCTGCTCCTGCAGCTCGTCATTTGTACGTTGTAGTTTACGTATATTATTCGAGGCGGTGTCCAGCTCGTCTTCGGCGACTGCCAAATCGCGTTTCAGCTCCTCGACGCGATTTCGCAGCTTCTTCACTTCCGTCTCGTACTGCTCGGCTCGCCTCACCGTGTGTGCCAGTTCGGTTATTTTGTCCTGCACCATTTTTTTCAGTTTGTTTTGCGAGTGCTTCAATTCGGATATTTCCTGAAAATTCTCGTTGGGCACTCTTTTCGATTGTCAAGTTTTCATAGCGTACCTTATTCTTGTCGATTAGTTCCTGCTGTAACTGTCGAAGTTCGGCGTCGGAGTTCGTCAGCGGTCTACCTTTCCTCTCCAATCGTTCGTGTAGGTCCCGCAGTTCCCCCCTGAGCTTTTTGTTTTCGCGCTCTAAGCTTAGCTTTTCGGTCTCTAAACGCTCTCGCTTGCCCCACTCCGCTGCGTTTTCAGTTTGGAGCCTTTCCAACTGATAGGGAACATAGTAGTTAGTTAGTTGTATATAATGTGTCCAGTTTGTGATGGGGATCAAAAAGGGTTAAGTACTGTAACAGGTAGTCACTTTAGGCTTAGAAAGATTTGGTTTCGAATTTAAAAATTTGCCCGAATTGGTCAAACACCTGCGTTGCTTATCTGGTACGTGGCATTGTTTATCGCAAATCGAATAAATTTTTGTCGAATAATAACTTTTTACTATCACCTGATTAGCTACGGACGACCATTTGTTTTTTCTACTTTTGCGCAAGAAATTGGCAAAAAGACACCTCGAAAGAAGCGCCCATTTTGGATTCGTACACATCTTCTATCTCGAGTAGAGAAAGATTTTTCATCACGATGACCTTAAGAGACTTTTTTATCCATTTTTACAAGTACGTACAATAATATAACCGAATTGAACATCCCGCACCAAATTTGATGCGTGGTGGCGCTTCTGAGAATCGCTTACCGCCAGTGGCGAATCGCACCGTGTGAAGGGGGTCTTAGATAATATTTGAAAAGTAATAGTGGAGTGTTTTGGTGGACCGAAACTTCACTTAGGACAACCCTATAGAAAGACTTTACTTAAACGAAGCAAACGCACGATAGATATAACTCAGACTAATTCTCCGTAAACAGGAACAACACTTGAGTTCAATTCAAATGATAACGTTCACTTTTATAACGACGTATTCATAAAATCATCTTCTATAATAAACTTTACTATCATACAAGACTGACCGTTTTTTTTAAAAACCCCAAACAGAAAGGTTGACCAAAAAGCAACGTTTCCTGTTTGATTCGTCTTTAACACTTCTTCCCTTTAACTGAACCTCTGTATATCTTGAAACTAATTAGCTTTACGCAGCGATAAAGAACTCTTATCGCACTGACCGGAGATACTTTTACAATAACACGCAATTATTTCTTCAACACGTAATTCAACTTTACAATTACAAATCAAAATAAACAAAGCGATTATTGTAACCAAATTAAACAGCAAAAATCACATTGACCTTGAATTTAAATCGTAAAACTTCTGACCTGTTTTAATTCAACATTTTAAACGGGATTGAGTAGTGGCTAGCTGTATAAAGAACAATTATCTGATTTCATGCAAAAGATTTGGCTTGCATCCCTTGTTTGCAGCTTTTACGTTTAATAAGGTGCCATTTTTATTAATTTCACGGCTTAATCGACTGTGTAGCTGTGTTAGGCTACATTTTCGGAAGTCGAGTGTTCGAACCTGGGCTGAGGCTGGGCATGCTACGTTACCGTTTTTTTTCGTTTCCTTCTTTGAGAGTACTTTTGAAACAGGCACGTTCAAGTTGAGTGGTATTCATTGCTAATAAATTCAATGTCGGTATTATTACACATATTATGGCGATTAACCGTTTGTTGTGTGAATTCTCGAATTAGTTTGGCTCGAGCCTAAACACTATTGCTCTCACCGTGGAGGATATAATTGAATTCGGTGATACGACTTTTCTATGCGTTTTCATATGGCGTTTGAAGCAATTTACTTTTAGCTTTTACTCAATAACCTTGAAATACTGCATCATCTCCAACTAGGTCTCATGGAATAGAAGTGAATACTCAATGTTACAAAATCCAACAGTGCTAGTTGATTCTTGCCAACTGGATCTTTCGAAATGCAATTTCCCATAAGCTTCGGCCGAGAACCTCTACTGCCAGAACCCTCCGAGTCATTAGTTCTCAAGTCTCGAATAACAGCGGATCTAAATCAGCCGTACAATTGCATTATTCCTGCCTTATATCGCGACTCCCTGTCTCCAACAAGCTTTCACACGCAAATACCAGTCAACCCAGTTTCCACGAATTATTCAAATTTATGCAACCAAATTTTGAAACATACCTATCCTCTAATAAAACCACCCTGTAGATTCTGTAATACCATAGAAGAAATACAATAAGAGTTACAAACAAATAGGATAAACTGGCATTGCTAATTTTCGCTCAGGAAATGCTGTCATCTGCTTTTTAACGGGGTGTAACTAACCCTAAAAATAGAAAATCGTACGTTCATTAGCGTGCCGATATGCGGTCACCTCGTTCTGAGATGGCGCTATAGTTAGTCGAGGAGCGCCTAGTTACAAAATGCGTTCTCGTAAATCTAGTTTAGAAAAACGTACGTGGTTCCTTCACTTAACAATTCTTTAGGGACGGGCTACATAATGTGGGGTCGGTGACATCCGGACGCCATCCCCGAGACTAACGTGGTGATTTTTCAGTTTTTTTTGCAGAGGAAGATAGGAAAAAACTAAAAAATCACCACGTTAGTAAACCACGCGCGGGACTGGCGTCCGGATGTCGCCGACCCCACATCATGTAGCCCGTCCCTAAAGAATTGTTAATTATGGGCCGCGGATTTGAGTGGTTCATAAACGCGCTAATTCAGCTACCCAATTTAGTGATCTGTCCTACATAACAGGGGGCGCTGAATGAAAATTTTCACTAGTCACTAAATATAGAAAGTACCGCAATCCATTGGGCTCCTGTGTCAGAGAGAGAACGCATGATTTTTGCCCAAAAATGGCAGAAGTTACCAGATTCTAGTAACTTTAATGTCAGGGATTGTTCCACCTGTTGGGAGATATCTGTATATATTTTTATAAAACATGACAGTACTATGAAGTTAGGTTATAAAAAATTACAGTTATTCAGATTTTATTTGTCAATTTTTTTAAGTTGGCAGCAAATTTGCCCAAAAATGGTGGATGATTGCGGTACTTTCTATATCTAGTGACTTTAATTTTCACACGCTTACACGGCCACCTACTTATAAGGTGTGTGAAAGGTGACCACAAATTAATAAGAGTCTGGAACTCTTATTGTTTTACTCTGTGGTAATACTCAATCCTTAACTCCGCAACCGCCAGAAAATTCTAACCTGTTATGATATCATTCAACTACTATAATCGCGCCTACACCAATGGGTCCTAACTATATACAGAGTGAACCATTAGTGTGTAGGTGTTAGTTTGTGGGTTTATTAATGCAATTCATCGTTGGGACATGTTGAAGGACTCTTAAGGCTACAACCTAAAAATATTTTCAACAACATTGCAATTGTTATACAGGGTGATTTTTTCAAAACTTCATTTTTAAAAAATAGAATTATTACATATTTCGATTCTTTGGTCAATTCTTCATTTTTTTGAAAAGCAGATTACATGATCCAGTTCAATTAGAATTTTAATTATAATCTTAACAAATAACTATTCGAAAATAGTTGAAATGCTACTACCCAGGCAGGGAGAATTTTTTGACGCTCTTTTGTTTTCCATATTAACACCTACTACAAAAAAAAAATAAAACGCACCTATTATGCGAGGTCTCAGTACTAAGATCTCAAGCCTGAATAAAAAGAATTAACTAACAGTTGTAAAACACACACACTAAAAAAATGTGAATATTGGATCAGAAATTCTCTTCTATTACGCGAAACACTAACTGATTAACCGTACCAAGGTTAATACATCTCATTTGAGAACGTAACTTCACCCACAAAAGTGACAGTACTATTTTCTTCAATTTGCTGTAAATTTAAGGTAATATTTAGTGAACATAAACTGGACAGGAAACAACAAATGTGCTGCAGTAATGAACACCCTTACCTCTGCCCTCAAATCATTTATCCTCCTATCCATGCCCTCGCGAGAATTTGCCTCATCCTGTAAATCTGCCCGTATAAGTTGCACCTCCTCCTGATGCTGGTCTTGCAACGATAGCAATTCCCTTACGGCATCTTGCCTTGCCTGTCGGAATTCCTCACACTTCTCTTTGGCTTCTTGACACTCCCCCGACAGTCTCTCAACGTTACGGTGTAACATCAGTTTCTCTCTGAAAACCGGCTAAACTAGGACGGCCTTTTTGGCAAAGGCATACTCACTCTCTTTCCACCTGCAAGGTTTTGGTGGCCTCCTCCAGCCTTAACTGTAACATCGACATCTTCTGAAACATGTACTCCTCGTCGTATTCTTCCTTACGCGGCACCCTTTCACTTTTGCAATCAAAGCCATTAGTTAACGAATCGTCGATATTCGCATCTTTGTATTCGATATGACGCGGTACTGCACCTTGTAAAATGTACTCCTCAATGGACGCATCCTTGTCGAGCTCCAAAAGCGAAGTGGTGGTACTATCACAATCTGTCCCCAACCCGTTTTGCAGTTCGCAATTTTTCGTCGGCGACTCGTGAGTTTGGCTAAAAGTAAAATCTCGCAAAGGATCTTCGCCTAGAGCCTCGAAAATTTGCCCATCGAACTGACCGGCGTGCTTTAACAGCAGAAGATGTATCTTTTCGATTTCCTTCTTGAGCTGTTCGTTTTGCAGCTCAATCTCTTGCTTCTCGCGTTTGTACACGTTGGCATCCTTTAACGCGCTATCTAGTTTACTTCTGAGCTGCTTGGCTTCGTCCCGCGCCTTGTTACGTTCGCTCCTCACTTTGCTCCACTTCTCGCGCCAATTTGCAGTGCAGTCGGACCACCACCTCATTGTTTTCTCCATTTGGGCGGCACGCGCTCTTGCCTCTTCCAATTCCCTTTGGCGTAAGGCCTAAGACAACGTACGTTAGCTTGGTTTACTACCCAAAAGTGTGTACTCACTTCCTTTGCTTCCCATTCTGCATCGGTACATCTCGAAGAAGCAACAGAAGCCGAATCTTGATCCCTTACGTGACGCCTCGAGGACGTACCACTCGTACTTTGAGCCATATTTAGAGATTTACCTTTCTAATTATCACATTTGGTTAGTTGTATTTAATTAGGACTCGAATATGTAAAATATTTAATGTAGGAACTGTCTGGGAACTGCATTTGGTGTGTCCAAATGTTTGACCTTGATCTGGGTATGTGGGAAATGATCCACTTTATTTTTTAGGGATTTTTTGTTTTCTACCGTTATGTGGTATGGCAACCACACATATGACCACAGAAGAGCATATACAATAGAATTGTACGTATTGTACCGGGTGATCGAAAAGTAGAGCAGATAGATTGAATTTCCCGTAAAACTAAACATTTATAAAGTTGGTAACACACCAAATGCCATTTATGTAAAAGCAGTGGTGGATCAATTTAATCAATGCATAAGTAAACTACCTTCTAAACATGTTTGCCAATTCCTTAAGTAAAAAACATTAAAAACTTAAAGCGCCCAATTTAAAATGTCTGCAGTTCTTTTCGATCACCCGATATATGTATTACATACAATATGTTGTATGCATTGAGTTAGAAAACTGTTGTATGCTTAGACAAGGTTGTATGGTATGCTATCAGTGTTATGCTGATGCATACATTTTATTGTATTTGTTTTGCAATCTAAATATACCCATAAGGCCATAATGCATTTTGTGAAATATATTTATAATCAAACAATTTTTAATGTATATATGGATTAACAAATGTTCAAAAGCTAATTAACAGTGTGCCAAGTAAGAACCCTTTTAGCATACGGTCCCTAAGACATACAGTTTGATGAGCCTAGTCCTAATGTGGTGTAATCTTTAAATTTGTTCCTTTCAATGAAACAAGCTCAATAACATCTATCTACCGGATCTTCACAAGTACCACATTTAAAAACGTTGGACTCTGTTTTAAATGGTTTTATTAGTAATGGACTTTCCTTTCTGTCCCAAATCAATTGGCACACTTAAGATGCGTCGAAACTTTATCTTTTAAATGATGTTGTTTCAAGTTGCGTTTATCATCTGTACGATATCACATTCAGCACATGAGCTTAATGTTTTAAAAGATGTCGTTTGAAGAGCTGTTTATTATTTGTCCCATAATCACAAGTAGGACATTTAATATCCTTCGAAGCTTTATGTTTTAAAATATGTTGTTTAAAGAGGTGTTTATGATTTGTCCCATAATCACAATCCCCACATTTGAAATCTGTAGAAACTTTATGATTTAAATGATGCTGTTTGAAGTACCTTTCAACACTTGTCTCATAATCACAATCAGCACACTTAAAAGCCTTAGAAGAGTTATGTTTTAAAAGATGTTGTTTGAAGAGGTGTTTATGATTTGTCCCATAATCACATTCGCCACATTTGAAATCTGTAGAAACTTTATGATTTAAAAGATGCTGTTTGAAGTACCTTTTAACACTTGTCTCATAATCACAGTCAGCACATTTAAAATCCTTAGTAGCTTTGTGTTGTAAAAGATGCTGTTTGAAGAGGTGTTTATGATTTGTCCCATAATCACAATCGCCACATTTGAAATCTACAGAAACTTTATGATTTAAATGATGCTGTTTCAAGTACCTTTTAACACTTGTTTCATAATCACAATCAGCACATTTAAAAGTCTTAGAAGAGTTATGTTTTAAAAGATGTTGTCTTAAGTACCTTTTAACACCTGTTTCATAATCACAATCTGCACATTTAAAACCTTTGGAAACTGTATGGTTTAAAAGGTGCCGTTTAGGATAGGTTTTAGTATTTGTCTCATAACCGCAATTTGCACCTTTAAAATCTTCCGACACTGTTTTACACTGAGTAAAAAGGTGACGTTGAAAGTGTTGCCGTACTTCTTCATTACAAAGGGATTTAGAACATGGTGTATGAATGGTAATTTCGTCCTTTATCGTCACCAAAACTTCGTTGCTTACCAAAGTATGTCCTTGAAGAAAGGAATTTATTTCTTCTTGTTTTGGTTCGATTTTAATGAGTGGTGTGTCATTACCGCCATCCATACCTAACACAAATAATGTTATATACTTGTACATGTGTTAAAAATGTGCTTTGGTACCTATTAAACAATACAGAGTGAGATTGAGATCCCAGAACAACAAAAAATTACTTACTTTTTGAGGAACAGAATTTGTTGAATAGGAGGAACAGAATTTGTTGAATAGGAGCCACGTCCCCACTAATTATTTCGGTTTTAATAACAAAAACTTTTATTCAATGAATTTTCCTACGTTGCTTTGATAATACCTTTGTTTGTATAAAATTGATACACATCGTGGTTTACCTATACGCATGCTAGAGATTTCAAGAAAGGGGAAAGAGCAATGCTGCGAGTTGAGGCCACTGAACTAAAAACCTAACACATATTTCTGCGGTTGAAGCTGTGGCGGCCATATTCTCGGTGCACAAAACTGTTTACTTTTTGTTTAGTTTACGTTTCTTGGCCAGTGGCGTACCTCCATTGTACTTATTGTATATATTATAACGAACAGAAAAGATATGCATAAATTTGTAACGCATCGGTTCATTTGTCGTGTCGTGCAGAAGTGCACAATTTCTATTTGTTTAAATACGTTTTTATTTACAATATGTATAGTACCTACGGTTGCTGTTTTCATCTTACGCCAATGAACTGTAGGCGGCCATGTTTTGGGTGACAAACAAATTACAACGCTTCACTTCACCATTGTTTATTCATAAAATGAATAAACAAGGACATTATGAATTATGATCATCTTCTCTAAAGGAGATTTCCGTCTCTGGAAAATGTGATGCTAACTTCACATATGTATTTTGCCAGGTGAAGATGGCTAGGTACTCTGAATTCAAATGCAGCGTATCGCTAAAAAGCTAACTTGGTAGTTCTACACACTATTTCCTTCCTATACAGACTAGCATTGTTTGAATTGCCGACATCGAAGTTAAAACATTTGTTGAATAGTAAACCCATTGTTTTCCAATGTAAAAATGATGGATACACATTTTTGCGCAAAAAAAAATTTCGCATACTAAGAAACGAACCCGAGCCTACTGGGCGCGAGCCGGGTATCCTTTCCTTACCACTAGACCAATATTGGATACATCGTGACTGAATCTAATATGAATAACCATATTCGTAAAGTAATTTTGATGCTTTTTTTGCATGTGCAGTGTATGGAATGTTCTGGACAATTTTATACTAAAATCTAATGAGTAGGGTGAGATTGATTGTGCTCATCTGCTGTGTCTACAAAAGGTCGACAGTGGCTCAAAATTTCAAGTGAGAGTATCTCGACAACAAGGTGTTGGCATAATTCGTTTTCCCGTTTTCCCTTTATAGCGAACATGACAGATTTTAGGGTAAAGTGGCAACGTTGCAATCCCAGCTTCAAAACACAGTTCCCGCTTAAATTTGAAAGAATGGCACATGATCGGATCGCCTAAGGTAGGGCCCCCTTACGTTAGGGGTTACGAAGGTAATACAATGACTCGGGTCTCAGTCGGGCAGGAGCACTCAAATAAAGCGCTGTAATGTCTGCGAGTTCATTTATTATAAACTTACTGTGAAAATCCGGGAGTTTGGATGTTGTACATTACAAGTTAAGCAAGCAAAGCCTAAGAGTGTCGCACTCTCGCAAAAGCGGACTGCCAAGGAGAAAAAGAGCGCGACTAGAGAGAAACCTCGGCATTGAATAAAGCCCAAATTATGTTAATCAAGCAAATTAAAACACCAAACGCCTAACCAGAACACGCAACACTGGCTTTATTAAAGAAGCTATGGGCGTAGTCCGGTAGCAGGAGTGTTTGAAGGGCATGCGTAGAATATTCGTCACAACAAGTCAGGGACTTTCCTTTAATCGCGGCTAGAAGGCAACTCACTTTTGGTCATCTCATTGGATGATGAGCCGTGTTATTTGTTATGTTTGGGCCCTAAAAGAAATCAAAGTTAAACCATCTTCGTTGATGTTATAAAACGTACATACCTACCTCTTAAATAAGAGGGCCAATTATAGGTGAAGCAACAATTGTCCACAGAAAATTGTCGAATGACAGATGACAACCGAACCTAAAGAAAAGGTACACTTCTATTACTTACGGAAAATGCAAATGGCGGTACTTACGATTAGCCACAAAATATGCAATTATATCCTCCCCATTAGAGATTTTCGTGAATCCGTCCTAATTATTCCAGAATCTCCAATTTAATGGATCCCATTGCTAGAGATTAATAAAATATGGATAATTAAAATTCCATGCGTTCTTAACTAACACCTCAGCTGTTGGTTTTAACGAAGTGCACATTGTTACGGCTCACAAAAGAAAGAGGAAAATGAAAGTGGACAATCGTAACCACTGCGCGGTAAAAATTGCGTGTTTAAAATTCCAACAATAGATGGAGCCATCTATTCAAAAGTTACGAGGGTCTTTCAACAAGTAAATATTGGCTGTTTTGTAATGGAGAAAATAAATCGTTACAATAACTAAACTAACACAGTTTATCTTACAAGACTGTTTAAGAAACCATTCATAGGACCGAACCGATCTCTAGAATTACATATAACACAGCCAAAAAGGAGATTCAGGCAAAACTCACGAAATAGCACTGCAGACACTGGAATTGCAGGACAAACCCATTCCAAGATCTATCTGGAAACTCCCGCGACGGGGAATTAGCATCGTCTAGCTTAAAGCTCAGTAAGATGAACATGTGAAAATGATGGTTCCAGACCATGAGACCATTGTGGATTAAACAAACACTTGCACAAAATGGGACTGCTGACAGCCCATTATGCAGGGGTTGTGGGGAGGAAGAGGAAACACCACATCACGTCATTTGCTATCGCCAAGGGAACGCCTGTTTGGAAATCAGAAAATTACACAAGAGGGCCCTACCAAAATCTTAGTCTTTGTTAAAGATACAGCCGACGCAGGTATTCTTAAAGACAGTGTCGGGAAGTGCAATAGATCAAAAGGTCGCAATGCAAGAATCGACTGGGAACAGCCTTAGTACTACAATAACAATAATAAAATAAAAAGTGTATAGTGTACTTAACCCCCAGGTTCTACGGTAACTTCACACTACAAGAACACTGAAATAATGTAAATCCGGCAACGTTTAAAAATGGCCTCCCTCCAAAATTAAACAAGATCCCGCTTAAATTTGAAAAGTGGCACGTGATAAAACATCTAAGGCAGGGCTCCCTTACGTTAGTTGTAAACAACGCTATGATCTGAAGCACAGTAGGGAAGGAACGTAAAATAAAACACTGAAATTGTGAAAAGTTTGTTTAATAATGATCGCAATTATTTATCATTGTGAAAACCCGGAAATTTAGTTGATTAATGTAAGCAAAGCCAAAAGGTGTCGTACTCTTGCAAAAGTATCTGCTAAGGGTAAAAAGAGTACGACGTAGAAAAACCTCGCAGTTTGAGTAATACAGTCCAAAAGTTAGTTAACCAAATAATTCTGTAAAAGTTTAAGCAAAGATAGTAAATGCATATACACAATGTCGGTTACACAGTCAAGGTTAAAAACAAATTTTGGGAACAAAGGGCCAGGTAAGAGCAGGTACCTAAATTCTGAGAAACGAAAAGATATGGAAAATTACATGGCCTTGTAGGCAAATTCAACTATCGGCAGAAATATATGGAACTTAGCTAGTCGTAGCTCATTTGTCGCACATAGATTCTAAACCGAAGAGCTTTAATTAGCATAATCTCGTCACCGTAAAATAGGTAACTTCGCCCCTCGTTCGGGGTTTCGAGCCTACAGTTGAATGTCGAAGACAATCACGGAATTAGGTGTCGTAACTCAATTTGATTACAGTTTTTACCACCCCCGTGACTGCTTCATTCACGGAGAAAATGTTAGTTACAAACAAGTCAGTACATACATCAAACAACTCGGTCATCTCCACATATTAAAATAAAATGATCAAAATTTATATGAATGTAACTTCGGGGACAGGACCAAGTAATCAACATCAATAAACATAAATTAAGCAAGCATTACACCAAAAACGTAAACAATTACCAACAAAAGGATAACGGTATCAAATATGTGATTCTGCATTAAGGTTAAATCAAGTTAAAAACAGATTGAAACTCACAAAAATATAAAATGCTACATACAAAACACAAATACGATATAAACAAATGCAAAGATTACTACCTGCATTAAGTAACACAAAATAACAATCAACATTTATGGAGCGACGCGTTCACGACCGCCATTCCAGACAAGATGACAAACGTAACCAACGTTTGTGCTCACCAGCAAATGTGTGCGCAAATCGTTTTCCCCTCCTAAAAATTGCGTGGTTGCCAACTCTCAAAAATGTGTGCATCGTCGTAAGTTGTATATGGAACTTCTCAAGTGGAAACTTTTCAATGCACCCGAGTGTATTTTGTCTTGCGTGTGAGTATTTTGAATCTCAAGATTCGGTAGTTTTTGAACAAGTGTTAAGTAATAAGCCTTCAAAAACTTCTTGCAGGATTTTCAAGCACCTTTCGAGGACCGGAAATTCATTAAGCTCAATTTGGTTTTGAATTTTGAAAGCCATCCTGAGAGAAGGCCAGTGGTCGGGAATTGAATAAAATTTTCAAATTTAATCATCCGACTTATGAGATTGAAATGAAAAGGAACAGAAATCCACACCCATGGAGCCCCCGTCTGCTCTGCAAACAGTACAGCCGCAACAATTCTTCTCTTTTAGCGTTCAAATAACACCAGTCATTAGAGAGTTTTGTTATTACTAGTAACTAATTTTAGAAAAATAAATGACCACTATTATACCTGTCTCCTGTTTTATTTAGGAATAATGTATTTTCATTTAGGGTTAATTTTTGTGAGTGTTTATTACCGTTACACGCCAATCAATACCATTGAATAGTTATAAATTCAATGTCAATACTTTGTAACTTACATTACCATTTTCTGAGAGGAAAACCCAGTTTTTTTTCACCTGTAGAAAATGACGCGCTTTCAATGATAGGTGGCGCTTTTTTGTATTAAAAAATGAAAATGAACAAAAATCCATTTCTATCGTAATAGGTACATTCACTAAGAAATTTGATGAAGGTACCTATACGAAAAGTTCATCACAAGAAATCAAGGTTTAATTTCACCAATAAGATGATGGCAAGGTCAAGGTTGAACATGATGTATGTACACCTTGCAAATTTGCGATGTCAGTATCTAATTTCCATTTTGCAAAGGTGCAAAGAAATTAGAAACCGCGTACTTTACTCTCATTCCGCAACCGAAAACAATTAAAAAGCGAACCTAAACTATGATTTGTTTCACTTACGGTTACGAAGTAACGGTACCGTTACTCCATACCTGTAACCTACCTGAGTTTAGTTTACGAACGTCTCAAAGCCAACGGTAAAAGACAACGTGTACGTCAGTTTTGTAGTACAAGTGAAGCCGCCTTGTCTTATCTTCTGCAAATTTTACATTTTGTCTGCGTGTCATTTGCATATCACCAAATTTGATCATTCTAATGACCGTGTCCGCCCATTGTTTCAACGCCTTCTGGAACCGACAGTGATGTGCTACCAAAATCAAAACGAAATAAATCGGTAGTGAGTGCATAATTAAAGTTATGGGTTCGAAATTTAAAATCAACCACCGGTCCCATAACTAAGTCTCCATATTGGTCTGGAGAAAATGGCAAAAAGCGGAAACAAAAGTGTACTGTGGGCGTACGTTTTATGGCTCTTCGGCGGAATATTTGGACTGCATTTGTTCTATTTGGAAAGGGACTCGCACGCGTTTCTCACGTGGAGCACGCTCGGTGGATATGGCCTCGGGTGGCTTGCCGATATTACCAAAATTCCTCGATACGTGAGAGACGTTAATAACGATCCGAAATTCCTCGAGGAATTGGTTCAGAAAGTGAGAAAAAACAAGAAGGTAAGCTTTATTAGTGTAGGCAGCGGTATGTTTGCCTATTCAAATTAGTCCAAAAGATAAGATATCGAGGACAGTAGGTGCTCTTTATTAGTCCACGGTTTCTTGAACTGCAATTATCCATGCAGTTCCTTTTGTTTCTCAATGTTTATGCACCACGAGTTTTTGCATGCAATTACATCAATGCTAAATTGAACATTTGCTCTAAAACTATTCACCGGGTTTAGAATTGGTTATGTAATCAAGACAATTAGTGCGTTTCGTCTTTAACTTTTCCTATTACTCACTGTTAAATTTCGCAAAATTGTACCCCATTCCAAGAATTGTAATTTTGGGCGTGGGAGAACTTCCTTTTTAAACTGCCAGCCCGTGAATAGTTTCCTGATCATCTTTAGCCAAGTTCCTCTAAACGAATCTTCCGGAATTTCCTTGAAAGCTACTTTTTGATTACAACTTTCTTTGAAAAAGAGTTTTTTAAGAGGCGAACTCTGAGGCGAATTTATTTGGATAGAGTTTCCTCATGAACATATCCAGCCTGGCCGAATCCTTAAACGAACTCTCTGGACTCTGATTCTTCTTGGGAGCTATTTTTCTGATTACAAACCGTTACAAACATTTCCGGAACCAATTTAAATGCCTAAGGTAAAATTTCACCATGATGTTTTTCAGCTAGAATTTCTTTAAAGCGAGGGAATTCACCTTGGACTCGGTTGCTCCAGAGACTATTTGGCGACTATTTTTTTTCCTTGAGAGGAAATTAACTAGGAGTAAGTTTGGACGAGCCCTTGTTATGGCGAATTTTCCACCCCCGTCTGTTTTGGGCTACTCCGGGCGGCAATCTTTCTTGAGAGATCATTTTTCGAAGGTGGGAATTTACCTGGGGTGAGAACACATGCTAAAGTGAGTTTTCGCTTGCAAATATTAAATAGGGATCAAATTGCCCCTTTTTTTTGCGGCTAAAAAAAACGGAAAATGGAAAATTTCGTTTTCATTTTCGCTAGTTAAAACGCTCGGAAAAGGACGGTTCCCGTTATCACCTTCTATTGGCACTTTTTATCGTAGAATTCGGAGAATCTGTATCTGTTATAAGGGGTTGGTCACGATTTATTTTAGGGGACAAAGATTTCCTTCATTACCTAAAAATTGTCACCATTTCCTTTAATTTCCTCCGAGATTTCCTCAAAATTTCCTATAGATTTCCTTAGAATTTCCCGAGGAATTTCCTCTAGATACATTTCCTCTTATTTCCCCCAAATTTCCCAATATTTTCCAAGAATTTCCTCTACTTTCGTCCATTTCCTAAAATTTTCCTCGAAATTTTCTATATGGGCGACAAGAATTCCGCTTACGTATTTTACAGGACAAACATTTCTTTCATTGCCTAAAAATTGTCAGGAAGTAACGTTACTGCCTTATAGAAACGTTTTATTTCCTTAACATTTCCTATAGATTTCCTCTTATTTCCTTAATATTTACTCATATTTCCACTCGTATTTCCAGAGAATTTCCTATTTTCTATTTTCTATTTCCCCAAAATTCCCCCTAATATTTCCTCAGAATTTCGTTCATTTCCTACGTATTTCCCAGCTATTTCCTCGACAAGAATTTCCCACGTGATCAACCCCCTCGGTAGAAGCCGCAGGCTCCAATTTCATTTCTTCTGGGCGCCATATTGGATTTTTACGAAATAAGATATGGGACAAACAAGATACAAAGAATCGCATGCGATTTTCAGTAGTACTCTGCTCATATTCGGAAACCAGACCTTTAATCCGGCTAATATTCAATAGCACTGATTCTTGAAGTCGTAGAAATCGATCGGCGAATGTTTGACAGCGCTGTTTTTTTTCGTTCTCGAGTTAGACGAGGAACATACGGACAGACAGACGGACAAAACCATCACATAAGGGATTTTTTTCGAAAAATTCCCCTAAAAAGAAAAATAATGACGTACTCTGTCCTTTTTTAGATAAGTTTACAAGAAACAATGTTTTAACATCTCTCAACAACATCTCCCTGAGTAACTATATCGTACTGAATCCAGACGTCTATGATGGCGATGCATTAAAATGAATTTCTTTGTTTGTCTTCTATCTCATTTTGTAAAAATCCAATGTGGCGCCTAGTACATACATTAAAATTGCGCCCATTCGGGAACACGACTTTTAATCCGGCTCATATTCAATAGCCCTGATCCTTGAAATCGTAGAAATGTCGAGCATTTGACATCACTGTCTCTTTTCGTTCTCGAGGTAGACGAGGAACAGACAGACGGACGAGCCATTACGTTTTTCGAAAGAAAAAAGTCCCCTCAAAAGCAGATATACTTTTGGTCTCGCTTTTGGTGGTTGTATTAACTTAGATGAAATTTTTACTCACAAAAAGGGACCACTTTTCCCCCATTTAATCTATCTCTCACCGGGACAGAGATCCCAATGGTGAGCCGCCGCGAATTTAAACCACCCTGTACAAGTTCACCTGGAGCGAGTTTTGGTTATGGGAACACACTTCTTAGACGAGTTCTCGTCAGCAAATTTACGGTTTTGAATTTTTTTGAGGCCGATTTTCCTGAATAAAGCTACTTAATTTGGGCGAGTATCTTCTTCAAAATAAAATTTTCGAACGGAACAAGTTCACCTGAAGCAAAGAATACGTTGGTGAAGGGGATTCCGTGATTACCTAACTAAGAGGTGACCTTGTTTTATGGTGCAAAGTCGAGCTTTGGAATTTCCCCGGCGAAAAACTCGTGGCCTTCGTCAAGGTATTTCCCATCAGGATCAATACTATAGAAGATAGAGTTAGGATGCAAAAAGGGCACTTTTGCATTTATAATCTTATTTAGCGTAATACCAATTCATATTAAAATTTCATCGAAATCAAATGAATACTTTAGTTTAGGGAGGGCTAAAAGGCGATGCTGCTCTTAAACAATGACAAATTATTTACTTCAAATTTTACAAGGAATAAAAACCAAAATCGTCCAGGGAAAACAAAACAAGATATAAACAATCTCATGCGGTATAGCATACCGAGGATTGGAGGGGAAGGATCTTTCGAGTCGTCTTTTGCCGAAGATTTTCTCTGCTGGAGGGTATTCCATACTCCCCAGACCCCCCGGTACTATGTTCTATCCATGGAATACTTCTTTTCAGAAGAAGATCCGATAATTTTCCAAACAAACTACTATGGTAGTCCTAAGGGCTAAACGTTTTGTGGGGGAATGTGTTTCCAGGGAGTTTGAGGTGTATGGAATACCTCCTAGTATAACGAGGATGAGAGAAAATGGATGTACCTATAGAGTCGCGTCCTTTGTCGAGGGTTCTCTGTTCAGGGGGTATTCCACCCCCCCCCCCCCCACACCCCCCGGTATTAAGTTTTATGGAATACTTCTTTGCAGAAGAAGATCCGATAATTTTCCATGAAAGCCCTGTGGGGAGAAACTGTTTCCGGGAGGTGGGCGGGATTGCATACAGAGGATTAGAGGGAAAGGATTTATAGAGTCCTCCTTTGCCGAGGGCTCTCTGTGCTGTGAGGTATTCCATACCCCCCAGACCCCCCGGTACTGTGTTCTATGGGGAGTCCTAAGGGCTAAACGTTTTGTGGGGGAAAATGTTATCTGGGGGTCTGAGGCGTATGGAATACCCCCAGTATACCGAGGATTAGAGAGAATGGATTTATAGAGTCGTCCTTTGCTGAGGGTTCTCGGTGCTGGGGGGTATTATACCCCCCTAGACCCCTCAGTATTATGTTTTATGGAATACTTCTTTGCAGAAGATGACCGGATAATTTTCCAAAAAACTATTAGGCAGCCCTAAGGACTAAAAGTTTTGTGGGGAAAACTGTTACGGGGAGGAGGGGGGGGGGGTAATTACATACCCATGATTAGAGAGAAAGGATTTATTGAGTCGTCCTTTGCCAAGGACTTTATCTACTGGAGGGTATTCTATCCCCCCAGACCGAGTCCCCGACCCCCTGGTACTATGTTCTATGGAATACTTTTTTGCAGAAGAAGATTAAAAGGGCTTTTTAAAAGGCACGACATAAAATCGAAGAAAAAAATACAGGGTGTCCTTTACAAGTCACGACATCTGCACGACCTCTAGTTGGAAAATAAAGAACTAAGAAATAAAAACACTACCAACAAAACTAACTAACGTTTACACGAGAAATACACAGATGGCGTAAAGGGTATTACCGAGGGTATTACTTGAATAGAAAATTTTAAAAATTTAAAAACGCTACAGTTTAAATTTTTGGGAAGATTTTTGAACAGTTTCTGTGTCACGTTTCTGTGAGGTTTAAATCTTTCTGTCTCTTAAATAAATTTTTAGCTTTTCAGTTTACCTGTCACTTGTAAAAAGTTTCAAGTTTACTTGGATTTTCTGATCGTCTCATTTTACAACTGGTATATTGCACCGAGCATCGCCCGAGCCTGCAAGTGCTTGGATCGGGTATTTTGCTCGGGGAGATTTTAATTAATCTTTTTTACCGATTTATAAAATTAAACTCGCAAATTTTTACAAATTCTGAAACGTATTTTAAATACCTTCCTAAACTGAAAACCTCAAAATGTGATTTAGGACCATTTTACCTTAGCCAATAGAAGAATTCAATTGCAAAGGTAACTTGTTTTTCGAATAAGTTTAGAAAAAACCACGTTCCTAATTACGTGCAAAAGGAATATTTTCTATTTCTTGTTAGTCTTCGATCGTCCGCGCACGCTTTAACATTAGCGTATTACCATGTTTTATTAATCTCTCATGATTTCTTAAAAGTGTATGCGTTTATAGTGATGTTATCTGTGCTGTGCATTCTTTTGCGGGTGAATACTTTTTGTGAACTTTATACGTAGAAGCACAGCACCTTTTTGTTTGACTTAAATGCTTTTTTGCAGAATTTGAAATGAATAATTTGTCATTTTTTCATGCGATTTCGATTATATTTGATGAATGATGAATCGGGATTAAGCTAAATAAGATTTCGAATGCAAATCCATAATATAAGGGCATTCCTTAGTTACGCAACTGGGACCGGACTACGACCTTGCACTATAAAACAGGGTCACTCGTTAGTTATCTAATCGTGGCATCCCTCTCACCAACGCCATGACATTGTACCATTCACCAAGTTCACAACCTAGGCTCCTTGGATGAGAATTTCTCTTAAAAAACGCGATAGGCATAGACATACATCGGTTTCCTGGTCAGTGTGAGCACAAAAGGAAGCAGAATTAAGTGAGAGTTTTTTTTTGTTAGCAATGCGAGTAATTGTTTTAAAAATTATTTGGGACACCAAAGAATACAAAACTTTTGTTTTTCAGCCCCCATTTTCCACCAGTCGATTTATATCGGCCATCACAGTCGGATACTTCTGGGGACAACTGCTGCTACTGGCCATTCCAGAAGATGAGTTCGGCGGTATAAACTGGAAGTTTCTGCAATGGCTGGTTCCCGCAGGTGCAACTGCAGGTAATTTTCGCGCAGTGTCTTTGAATGTTGTGTGACTTAAGAGTTTTTAGGAGTGTGGGCCGTTGGAAACATTGGCCGCGAAACCGGGACGCCTTGGAAGTCTTTGGTTTGCGCGTACGTGGCGTATCTGTCGAGGTGGTATTTTTTTGACGAGAGTATTTGGTTAACCACCGTCGTTTTTACCTCGGCGCTGGCGTTCGATTCCTTTTCGAAGCAATGGCGGCGGAAACCAAGGGAGAAGAAGTCGATAGTGAAGTATGATGGTCGTTAGACGTTGTGATTTGTAGCATTTAATTGCAGGCGAATTGCGGTACTCGCCCTTTGTGGTACGTTGTATTTATCAATGTGGAGTGCATATTTTTACTTCAATGGAAAAGTCACCGACTCCAACGGTGATGAAATACCCGTTCACGAAGCAATTCACCACTTCTTCACGTCACCTTGGTGGACGGACCTGAAACAATCCCTCTACGACGTCTACACATTTGCGCAACATCACGGATGGTAAGCAATATCCTTGCGTTTGACCACATTTTCGAATGAGGAGTTTTAGGTACGAAGTGTGGAAGCAAATAATCGATCTATCGGATCCGCAAGGCGAACAGAACGCCTACAAGGTTTTAGGTGTGTCGCCTACGGCATCCCAATCCGAAATCACCTCGAAATGGCGACACTTAAGCAGAGAGTGGCATCCGGATAAAATTAAAGATCCGCAATTGAAATCGGAGGCGCAAAATAAGTTTATGGAGATACAGCAGGCCTACGAGATCTTATCGAATATAAAGACTAAACGTAAACGCAAAAATAAAAAGTCAGTAGATTAATACCCGCAAAACTGCCCCAGGTTCCGTTTGATGGTGCCAAAGAGACAGACGTTTTTCTATTTATTGTGTTTAACATGTCTTCAGTGAGAGAAAAACATTGTTTTAAACTTTACAATTGCGTATAATGTAATAGTAATATATGTGAGTTGTGATTATTGTTGTCTTTAAAATGCACACGGTTTTGTGTTAAATGAGCCATCCACTTACGCTTATCGCTACAGGGTTTATGAATGCTTTGATGGATTTAATTCACATGTTTTGAGCGTCATTTTCATAAAAGAAACCTCTTTTTATAACACTATTTTTTGATAGAAATGGAAATTGAAATAATTACCTACCTACTTATTATTGAAAAAATAGAGAAGATGGAAACAATGTTCTCGTGATTTACCTTCCTATCTTTGAAGGCTTTAGATCTCAGCACTTACGTCACCACTATTATCCCAGATAGGGCTTAGTCGACCCCGCCAAATATGTTCTGATGCGTCCGGAAATCGAATACGGATCCTGCCTTCGTCCATGCAAAAAAGAAAATTTGTTGAAAAAGCTCAGTCAACTTTCTTATTTGTTAAGATATTACATTGAAAGTTTACGTTTGCGTATACGTTAAAAAATTGCGAGTCATAATTCTTGAGTCTATATTCAGGTAGCTCTCCCAGAAAACGTTCTTAAAACTCCCGAAGTTTATACGCATAAGTGCGTCTAAAGAATCCCTAAAGAACTACTGGGGAAGTACGAAACAATTTCTTGAAAATCCGTAAAGAACCTCTTATTACATTAGAAGAATATTTTTTAAGAAATTCTGACAAATATGTAAATGTGCTCTGATAGACTACCCTCTGAAGATGTATCTATTTATCTCTGAATAATAGGTGATAAACATCTAAAGAGTCTCTGATGAACTTCAGGAGTAAGAACACTTGGCGTGTTTCTCAGATGATTCTTTAAAATCTTAGAATAATATTTGGTAGAACCTTAACTTACACGACCCCTGAAGAATATCTGTAAAAATTGTTAGATTCTCTGAAGAACCTTTCAAAAAACGTTTTTATTTATTTTTCATGTCCAGTCTGTTTCAAATTAAGTCGGTACTATTGCTAACCTTCTTAGTTGTAGAGTTAGAAAGACGATTCAATTATCAAAATTGTGTAGGTATTATTTTCTACTGAATCCAAGTCTAAAATTAAAAAAAAACAACATCGCATTTTTCAGATAATACCAAAAATGTGACTTTTTTATATGGGACACTCCGTATATTATTACATCATATGACAGATTATTAAATTCTATACAAAAGTTTTTAATGAACCATAGTCAAATTATTTCAAATAAGTAACTAAGATTTTTCATTTATCTCGTTCATGATTTTGGACTTTCTGATCGTCCGTCTGTGTACCTACATGATAACTCGTGAACGTTTTCGAATTTTCCAATTCTGTTTGTTGCTCGTTGCCTCTATATCGGATTGAAACAGTTTATTTTCATTTGGATCTAGTGATCCATGAAAATGATAAAATGACGGCTCTCTGACAGGTAACTTTGAGGGTTATTACCTACCTACATATAGGGTTGTTTAAATTCCTAGAAAATATGCCTTACGCGCCCTGTACCGAAGGGAATAAAGACATATGTTTGAACACGATACAAAATAAGAAAGAAATCTGAAGAGTTTCTTTCCTTTGGAAAACGTTTAGGCAAGCTCTAAAGAATCAATACAAATTTTGTGAAGAATAATTTTAGATTTTCAAAGAAATCTCATGTATACGTACAACAGGTCCGTAAAAATGAATCATCTTTGAAAAATCTTTAAACATTTCTGAAGAAACTGTGTAGAAGTCGTTTTTTCGGATAATTTTGCCGAACAGCACCGATTTTCATAAAAAATTTGGATTTAGGTTCTACTAACCCTTTTCTTCAAAGTTGACCCAGACCGAGGATACCTGGGAGTGGATGACGCTAAAAATGTTTAAATAATTCTAAGCAAGTGCTGCAACAAAAGTTGGGGTCGTTTCGTATTTGAAATTCGGCGAGGTATTTAAGTAAAAATCTGGTGGGAGAGCGGATTTCTTCGAAAAGAATCTATGCAGGTCGAGCGTTATATTTTGCGATCACGTATTGATTTCTTACCCGAACCTTCGGTGCAAATTGACGTATAGTGAGCGCGAAGATTCACAGATCGCAATTTGGGATATTTCCATACTTGGCTAATTTTTCCCATAAGTAAATCAAATTAGAACTAACAAACTGCGAGGAACCTGAAACACGGTTGTGCCGATTTCAAATTCGTCAATCATTTTGCGAGTTTCATTTTCGTGGCGTTCCATCACCACCACTCCAAATGCATTTATTTATTTATTTATTTATTTATTTATTTATTTATTTATTTATTTATTTATTTATTTATTTTATTTATTTATTTATTTATTTATTTATTTATTTATTTATTTATTTATTTATTTATTTATTTATTTATTTATTTATTTATTTATTTATTTATTTATTTATTTATTGTCCCTCTTGTTCTAGGCCCTCAACAGGTTTACGCCCAATTACAGAGTGACCCGCATAATGCTTTTTAGAGGTGCCCCTGCAGAAGGTCTTAAGTTGTTCTATACTACAATATTAACAATATTAATACGTAAACAAACACATTGGAAATGGTTGCCCAAAAAATTAAGTCATTTCATTCATATTTATGCCTTACAGCTCTAAAAACCACCGTAAGTCGTAAGTCAACTTGCGATAGTAAAACTTGCTACTCGAAACGTATAAGAGACTTTGGGGAAGTTATCCCACAAATTCAGATTGCATACGCAACCGGGGGGGATATAAATTATATTTTGGGGGGGAGGGGCATTCTTGAAACACAGACACAAGGGGTTCTGGGGGTATGGAATGCCCCCCCCCCCAGTGAAAGTTTTTTTAGTTTCAAAAACGTGTTTTGGGACCCTTTTTTATCACCCTCCCCTTGTATCCGCCCCTGTACGCAACCAACATTTGAATAAATATTGTAGAACTTGAAATTGTAAACCAACAAATTAAAGAAGAAACGTAAGGAGACCGATGTGATAGGCATGTTGGTTGATTGTGCTGCAGCGTTTACCTATTACGCGATCATTACTTTTGTCAATGACTGTACGTGACCGCTTTCAAAGAGCGAGTCATAATTGTCGCACCATAATTCCAAACCGTTTGCTTATTATGCTAAAGTAATCTTACGCATAATATATACATACACTATTAAGTAAATTTAACCTTTAAGTTATAGGTTACACTGTCAAATTCAAATTCTACCATACATACTAACGTCCTATCTGCAATGGTGACATATACGGCCGGCATAGCATACTTAATATGTTGTTGGGATAACAATGTTGTTAAGGCATGTGATTGGTTGTTTTTTTCAAAGAATAACGTCTTTTTTTGCAAAAATATCCAATCACATGTCTTAACAAAATTTATAATACCGACCGATAGTCACAATACATTTACGATGGACTTTATGTTTAATATAATATAAATAATATAATAAATACAATCCATAGTTACATTTTTTTGGATTTTTGCTAATGCAAAATCAAAATTCAGATTTTAACATGTTAGAAATGACTAACGGAGCTACGATCAGGACATTATTAAAGATCCAAAATGCGGATTAAAAAAAACCCAATCTATTTAAATAGGGGATGTAGCCACATACTCATGTTTTATCAGATTTTTTGTTTGTCGTTCAATAATAGACATCATTTGTGAAGTTTAAACAAAAATAAAGATTCACCCTTAGCCTTAGGAGTATTACTATAGATTGGTCTATGCTATTACCAATCACCCCATTTTCTATTCAAACGATGCTATACCACGCCACTTAAACTTTCGCAAAGTACTGAGCGGAAAATTGTTAAGTGTAACGATAACAGATAAAGCGTAGCGTCATCGCGACCTTCTTGCCTTTAGTCACGAATAAATTGAAAAGTGAAATCAAATAGAAACATGTGCCGCGATCAATTAGGAGTTGTAAGATTAGTCACATCAAAATACCTCTAGAACACCTAATCCATTAAAGCACTTCCCTGTTTTCGGCAAACTCATTATTTAAAACAAACTCTCCACGGAAATAAAGCGCGTCACTTTACTTGCGTTCTGTCCGTTCGTCGACTGTTTTTCTGGGCAGACTTGAAAGTGTGTCATACAAATGGTTCTCATAGGTCGATTCCTTTATGAATATTCCTAAAAATAAATGTATACAATCAAAAGTAATTTGGAACTGCGAACATGAGGAGATCAAATTTTTTTATTTGAGACATCCTGAGACTACGTACCATTGCACCCGCCTTTGCTCCGAAAAACTGCTCCCATCGCTCAAGGTATCAAACGAAACTGCTCTCTCGTTTGCCAAATTCGCCTTTGATTTCGGCTTCTCTTGCTTAGTGCTCCGGGTCTGGTGCGTATTCTTTATAGACACTCCGACACCTTGTGTTCTACCTCCTGGCATCCGTAGCACTTCAGCGGATTTCACTTTTTCGGCGGTTCCTTCGATCCTGGAAAAGCTGCTCTAATCAATTTGAAGAACTCCAACTCAGCACGTTTTGTGTTTAATCTCCTCGTCGAGCAGACGGCATCTGACAAATTGCAAATAAAAAGTTTCGTCTCAAGAACCGTGACGATTGTCTCATTTTCTGACCCCAGAGTGATCAGGAGATGACAAACTACATCCAAATCCTCCATCCACGATACTTCCGCACCAGACGATCGAATTTGAGAGGCTACCGGACTCGAATCTCAGGGACAACATATGCCTATTGCTGAAGTTCATATGAATATGGCCGAACATGTAATAATTTTTTAAAAAAAGGAGCATTTAATTCGGGAATAGTGCACTTAATTAGCACCTAATTAGGCAATATGGTTTGATTGTGTTCTGCTGACCTTGCTCTGCGAGGTTCATGGATAACGGGATCTTCTAGCATGCATCCGGACGGAAGCGGTGGATGTCGCGGCTCTGTGGGTGCAGGTAGGTGATTCGGCGGATGTGCGGAAACGGAAGGAAGTGGCACTCGAGAAGCGGCAGAAGTAGGATAGAAAATGCCAATCCTTGTTATAGTGTCTAGAATACACGATTCCCATCTGGAACACGCAAGAGAAGGCATACACAGAAAGCGATTTAGGGTGCTTTGGCCCGTGTCTTCGAACGCTAGAATATTGCCAGCCGAATGTATTTTACCTTTAAAACCAAAGAAAATGAAAAGTGAACTAACTGTAATTACTAATTAGGTGCTAATTAAGTGCCCTATTCCCGAATTAAATGCTCTTTTTTTTTTAAATTATTACATGTTCTGCCAGGTTCATAATTTAAAAAAAGGAGCATTTAATTTGGGAATAGCGCACTTAATTAGCACCTAATTATGCAATATGTTTGATTGTGTTCTGCTGACCTTGCTCTGCTAGGTTAATGGACATAAGACCCCGTTCATCCAGCAAAACACGCATCCGGAACATCCAGGCGTTGAAGTTTGATCCGTCAAACAAGGACAACAAGAACAGTTTTACTTCTCTTCTCTTCAGTTTCTTCTTTAATCTTCTCTTTCACTTTATCAAGGTTTTATTCCTTTGTCACATATTAGCCGTCCTTTTTATCTTCTTCTTTACTTCTTCCATCAACTTTGCATTACTTTTTCAACGTTCTCCTCTCATCAATTCGAATTTGTTCTCTCCCACTCTTTTAATTCCGCTATCTCTTCTTCTTTTTCCTCCGCCTCGGCTTTCCTTTGTTCCAATGATCTTATGTCTTGCTCCTTCTAAACACTTCGAACAACATCTTTTTACTCCCTAGAGCTACACCATCTCCCATTGCGTTGTGGGCTTACCCGCCTTAGCAGCTTAGTGGTATTCGCTCCTCTCTGTCTTTTCCATATGAGATTCCATCAGCAACCTTACTAAAAGCAAAATGGATCACGGTTTAGGTACTCATAATGTGCATGCAAATTCCAACCAGGCGCGTGTAGTGTGTGTTGCCTATCCCACGTTGTACGCGTTGAATAAATCGCTTATTACTATTTCCTCTCACCTTTTGTGATTTCGAAGACATTTATTTACCTTGGCCATATAAGTCTATAAGAGTCCTCAAGAGTGACAAACAGTCTCCAAGAGCTTCCACGGATATCTCAGAAAAATGTTACAGTTTCTCAGATTCTCTGCTCTCTGTAAAAACCAAGTTCCTAAGAGCGTTTGTTAGCATTGGAAAGTTGTAAAGAGTCTGAAAATTTCATATGAGTTTGTAAAGGTATTACTTGGTCTTTTCAAATGTCTCCAAAATGCCTTCAGATCGCTTATAGGGGTCTTTTAAAATCTATATCTAGACTTTAAGATGGTCGCCCACCGTTCGGGCGAGCCTTCAAAAGTTTCTAGATGCCTGATTTAGAGTCTTCACGAGGGTTATTTTAGTGTTAAATTTTTGGGGAAGTCATAAACAAGCTTTGAAGAGGCTGTAAGTCTCCAAGACTTTCTAGACTGTTTTAGAACATGTAAGGTCCTTATTAATCACAGTCCTTTAAGAGCTTTTAAGAATCTTTGGAACTTGAAAATGGAAAACTAGCTCTGTTATGATCGGATGACAATATTTGATCTGCGCATAAAAGGCGCTGGTACGAAAAAACGATCGGCTGTTACTTTGGGGCCTTTGAGCATTAGAAAATTCGCGAAAAACATATTTCACTTTTTATTAAGCACCATTTTCTAAAATATTACAGTAATACAGTAATTACAGTAATATAAAAGTATTTGTAGAAGAGACAGAAAAGGCCAAAACAAGCAGAAAAAGTCTGTGATGTGCTATGGTTGTTGAGAAAAATATACAGAAAAACGAGATCCAAAATGCCCATGGAGTTACTTTTATTTGGGACGTCCTGTATATGGTGCTGCATTCTGGTATCACACCTCTCCAATTCAGCTCTGGAAAGTTAATTGGAAATAGAATTTTGTTGTAATTCATAAAAAAATTCACCAGCATCACACATTATAACAGTCTTCTATTCTTCTTTTGGCATTGAACAAAACTTCTGCGATTACTTACCCGATACCCAAAGTCATGCAGACCATGAACCCACCACCTTCTTGTTAAATACCTACAAAAATAGACATTAGACAGACTGGTATCCACCACATTTAATTATTTCAAAATTATTTATTGAAAATTTCGTTACGAATACAAGTTCGTTATAATTACAAATACAAAATGAATGACGACAATAAATAAAATACTAAAAATGTATATATTTACATTAATTTCATGATAACTGTACGTGGTCCAATATCATTGAGATGTCCACTCCTAGTTCAAATTTCTGAGAGGACGTCAAACTTGATCTCGGAGTGCTCCACCATGTTTCATAATCACAATGTTAGTAATTTGGTTAAACGGCACAACGTTCCTAGATGCTAAACACGCATTCTAATTTTGAGAATTAGGACACATGTAAAACTATATACATATTAAGTAAATACCAGTGGATAATGTTGGTTATAGATATGTATTAGTTGGAAGAGGAGAACAAAAAGAAGGAAACCAACTCTATCACAAAAGCAGTCGAATGTTTCACGATCTACAGAGGTAGCATTGATGCTATTTCTTTTTCTTGATCTTTGAATGCTTTATGGTGGTCTCTTTGTTCTCGTAAATAATGTCTGATTTTTGTACTCCGTTCGTTGTGAAGTGTTCATCATTGTTGTTATTTGCTAGCGTTACTTGAAGACGTGGGACGGTGAGCGGACGTATCAGCGACTTGACAACGGGAGGGACGCTGGGCGCCGAAGGGAGTATTGGTGAACTGGCACATAGTGCCGCCGTTGTTAGTTGAGTAATTAGTCTCGCACTTGACGAATGGTCTACGTTTGAACCTGGATTGGAAGACGTTCGAAACACTTTCCTTAATCTGGATTTGATACCTGGAAATTTAAGCGAGCTATTAGTAGAGCTTTGGAGAACGCTCGGTTCACTCTTTCATGCAAAAGTCACGCTTCTCACCTCTTACTTAATCATACAGCAAAATAAAGTTTTATATCTGAAAACTACAAAGAATTCGATTATAGTGTATAAAAGTAAATGTCTTTTGTGCATGCTTTAAGCTGCAGTGTCCGCGAGACTCTAATAAAATTTCATTCGCGCTCTGAATTGCTTTGTTGTTTGTCTTTACGAGTCCGCTCCACGCTCTATTTAAACCTTCAGCTTTTAAACGAAAGGAAAACAGCTATTTACTTAAAGCGACGGATGCAATAAACTAAAAGAGCTTATGCGGCTAATGATTTTTGGGATGGCAATAAATTTAACAATAAATCTACCGTGCTCTGGTTGCGAGATATGTGGAACAGGAACAACTTTGCCAAGAACCACTCTGGCTCCGATGTCGTTATCGCTGCCCCAATTCCCGTAGGAAGTTGATCTTTCAAGAAGACGTTGCCTCGCATGTTTCTCGATCACGTCCGCACACACGTAACGTCCGCAAAATCTGGCCCACTGATCTGCCCTTAATCCTCTTCCGCTATCACGCAAAGTCGGATTCGCTCCTTTAAACAAATTTATGAGACCCAATTTCGGAACGCAAATTATAAATAAGTAATCACCTGCGAACAGCAGAACTTTGGCACATTTATTACGGCCCTGAAGGGCGGCCTTCATGAGCGGCGTGAAGCCCAAATTGTTTCGCGCGTCAATTTCGAGTCCCTTGCAGCGGCTAAGTAAGACGTTCAAACATTCGACTTGTCCTATAAAAGAAAAAAGAGTAATGGTATCAAATATTGATTTTACGTAACCGACGGTATTATATTACTCTCTTTTATAGACCCTTTTATCGTAATAGTCTGTTTGACAGTACGAAACAACAACAGGGGTCGTAAAAAGTTAAATTTCGACGATAGTGCTTTTTAATGGGCGCAAAGCTGTACGAAATTGAGTTTTTTTGTTCAATTGTCGAGTTGCGACTGAAGAGAAGGACAATATTTTATACAGAAATGGATACAGGATTGCGTCTGTCGTGACTGTTTTTGATTTAATGGTATGAAATCGAGAGGACGATTACATCCTTAGTATGAAAATGAAAAATCATTGGTATATGGATGTGCAGAAAAGTAACGGGGATGGTTTAATTAGATCGCCAAAGTAGCACATTGAAATTGAAAGCGGAGGTTGACAATTTTATCTTTACCGTAATTTATGTTCATATTTGTTCACTAATCTCTGGAATATATATCCGATGACAATAAGGGATCGAGAGGGGGACTATGGTTGGTGGAAATTAATTCCTTTCGTTGAGCCTTTTGATAAAGACTCAGAAAGAAGGACGGTAGTTATGGTAGAAAACGGTTCCTTTCGTTGAGACCTTTAATTATAATACCATGAAGGGTAGAACGTGTGTTTCCCCCCCCCCCCCTGCATTTTCAAAAGTTTTACTTGGCACCACTAAATCTATACTAATCGTCTATGTAGCTCAGTGGTAGAGCTTTGGGCTACATAGCCGGAGGTCGGGTTTTTTTTATTAAAAAAAAATGCACTAAAAAATTATTAACTACTGGTACCTATACGTTAAGTTTGTAGGGTGGAAGTGCTCCAGTATACAGGGTGGTGTTTTTAGGTGGACCATTAGAAGTATTTCAGGAACTGTTTGGAATTTCGAATCGGGGCCCATTATCTTTTTTGAATAATCGATCAAAAGGAATCATTAAAAAACATTTTCAAGATGGCCACTTTTCCGGTTGTATCAGAACGGTACCGGAACTTTCTTATTTCAAATGGCACTATCTTTTCTGATAGCATTTTCGAATTCCTCATAAAAAATCTGTATGACTTTGTTAATATGGTGCTATGACTAACTGACATGGTTTCGAAGTTATTTTACATTTTTTCACAGTTTCAGAGGTTCAGTAAATTGTTGTTTGACAACTTTACAAAATGTTTTTTTCACGAATGGATAGCTAAAAGTTCACGCTATCAAATCCTATTGGTCTGATTTTCAAATGTGATTCGAATATAATACGAATAAGCGCTCAAAGTTGACAATCGGTTTTTGGTAAAAAACTCGAATTTTTGAAATGGAAACCATATCTTTACTATGCATCAATGGATAAAACGGATAAAAAATTGTACTTGCAAAATTTTTCTAAAAAAATTTAAAGAAACCACTTGAGAAAAATTTTTTGTTTTTTTTTACGCTCTTTCGATTGATACATAGTAAAGATATAATTTCCATTTGAAAATTTCGAGTTTTTGACCAAAAATCGATTGTCAACTTTGACCGATTGTTTGTATTAGGTATTTTCGAATGACGTTTGAAAATCAGACCAATAACATTTAATAGAGTAGATTTTTAGCTGTCCATTCGTAAAAAAACATTTTGCTAAGTTGTTAAACAACAGTGATATGGCTAATTTACTGAACCTCTGAAATTGTGAAAAAATGTCAAAAATCTTCGAAACCATCATATTAACAAAATCATACTGATTTTTTTAAGAGGAATTCAAAAATACCAGCAGAAAAGATAGTGCCATTTGAAATAAGAAAGTTCCGGTTTCGTTCTAATACAACCGGAAACACGATCGATTATTCAAAAGAGGTAATGAGTCCAGAATCAAAATTCCAAGCTGTTAATGAGATAATTCTAATGGTCCACTTAAAAACACCACCCTGTATATTAGAAAGTTGATTTTGATCTGTCCGAAAATTAAATAACATATGAAGAGGTCCCCAAGAAGGGTGTCTTAAAGCTTTGGTTAACAAAAACCGATAAATTACTTTCTGAGTATCCAATAAGGAGTACTATACAGTGCGATTGAGATAAGAAAGTCACCCGAAAAAAAAATTGTCTCAGATCGACACGGAAAAAAATTTTTCTTAATGAATGTGGCCTGTAGAACCCATAATTTCAAACAGTTCCAAGATTGGGCTACTAGTTCAAAAGTTACAGCCCTTTGAATTTTCTTTCGAAATTGGTTTTAGTCTATAACTTTTGATTGAGAAGTCTGATCGAAAAAGTACGAATTGTTTTGGATTCTACGCACCAAAATTAATAAGAAAAAGTGTTTTCCCTAGAAATTTTGGTGTAGTCGATTTTTGGTAAAAAAGGAAGGTTACACACTGCCTTTTTTTGAGGCCCGAAAAAAAAATTGTCTCAGATCGACCCGGAAAAAAATTTTCTTATAGAATGTGGCCTGTAGAATCCATAATTTCAAACAGTTCCGAGATTGGGCTACTAGTTCAAAAGTTACAGCCCTTTGAATTTTTTTTCGAAATTGGTTTCTAGTCTATAACTTTTGATTGCGAAGTCTGATCGAAAAAGTACGAATTGTTTTGGATTCTACGCACCAAAATTAATAAGAAAAAGTGTTTTCCTGAGAAATTTTGGTGTAGTCGATTTTTGGTAAAAAAAGGAAGATTATACACTGCCTTTTTTGAGGCCCGAAAAAAAAAATTGTCTCAGGTCGACCCGGAAAAAAAATTTTCTTATTGAATGAGGCCTGTAGAATCCATAATTTCAAACAGTTCCAAGATTGGGCTACTAGTTCAAAAGTTACAGCCCTTTGAACACAACATTTAAAACAAATGTTACTATGTCAAATGTGAAGGAATCTGGCGATGGAATGTGAACTTATGCTCCTGATGGGGTTTGCATTTTTTCCTTGATTATTATATTGTGTTTTTGAAAGGCGTATAACCTCATCTCACTCTCAAGGACCTTTAATATTTCTCGGTTCTTTGTTAAGGTGACTTATTTTAGACGGGAGTAAAATCGTAAAACTCGGCAGCCGAAGGCGGGCTCGACTCGCTCGCCTAGCTCACAATTGCGAATTTGTCAATTCAAAAGGAAATATGGCATTAAAATCGTCGATGTGTTTTTTAAATTGACTAATAGTTTTTGAATAAATAAAATGATTTTAGTATTATTGTTAATTATACGTATTGGTTTGTCGCTTAATAAGCGATATTTAATATTAATAGGACGGTGCGTAGCGCCAACTGCAAGTGCAAGGCCGCCGCCTTTCGATTATGATGACGTGGGTTCGAACCCTCCGAGCGCTCATTTTTTTTTCTATAATAGATCGCGGCAAAAAGAAGGGAGCGAAGGATTGTAAGATAAACGAACTTTTTTTGAAATTGTTTTAATTCCTTTTTTAATGTATGTAACTTTAAGTCAATTATGTAGGTATTTAAAAATTTCGCGCCACTCTTATGAAGTACTTGCTGCACCCCCACTTTGAGAACCACTGTGATAGTCGGGCTCTTGATTAAGGGGATTCCCCAGGGTACGTAACTAAGGAGTGACTGCTGCAAGGTCGTGGTATTCCATATACGCATTGTTAATTTGTTTGTAAAAAGAGATACGTTTTTAATTATTTCTACGCCACTGCTTCGTGCGGTTTTCTAAATATGATGTAAATTCGCAAGAGGTTAATCCTTTGGCTTATTTTATGACACCAAGTTCCCCATACGCTTCGTTACCGATCTACAGGGTGTTAAAATTTCAAGATTTTTTCCTTTATATCTCCTACAATTTTAGATATTTCGCTCAAATTTGAAATATAAATTACTTTTATATCATTGGTCATGTCAATGGCACTGAGAATCTACAGGGCGTTGTTTTTCAAGGGTTATGCTCCTTTTTCTACCTCCAATTGTGACTTTAATTTTCTGATTTGTTTCGAAACTTTTTGGACTCTTGTAATTAAAATGGCGCGTATTGGAGAAATGGGGAATTTGACACGTTCTGTTGTGATTGGCGATTTATTTGAAATTTCATAAAGAAGGAGATTTTGGTGTAGTGAAAGCTGTGTTTCGTTAAATACTGGAAATCACGAGAAAACGAGGCGGCTTGTGCTGGTTTCTCGACGGTGCGAAAAGGGTGTAAATTTGTTTACGCGAAATTTTCGGGAAGTCAGCCCTACTTGTTTTGTTGAGGACGCAGTCATTTTTATAATAAATTGGTGCAGAAGCAAGCTCACTAAAGTGACGCAAGAAGTTTAACATGTGTTGTCCGATTCCGTAGAAAGTTTCTTCAAGTGGAAAAAGCAAGTAGCGAGGATTCTCTTCCTATTAAAAGTTAAACGTATTTCTACCTGTCCGATAAGCTACCGAAAATTTGTCATCAAACAACAAGTGAAGTTTTCTGAAGTTGACAGCGAGTGTTTTTATGTCAGTTTTAGTGCGCCTAATATCGCAAACTTTGTACGACCAGATTATTTGGATTATTAAAGAATATCTGTAAGAACTATTTTATTTATTGCCCGTCTGCGTGCGGGGTATATGCCCAAACAGGCTTTGCAAGCTTTTCCTTCTTTTAGGAATTTGTTTTAATTTTAGGAATGAATTTTTGTCATTCTCAATCAAACAATTACTTATGCGAATCCATTGTGCGACGCGGTTAGAGTTTTCATGTCAGTTTTTCGTGTTAAAAAAATATGTCAGGTGCTAATGAATATCATTTGTTTTACGGGGATAAAAAAACGAGAATTTTGGCGAAATAAACAAATTTAGCACCAGAAAAAGTCAGCTAATTTTTTAGTGCATTTTTTTAATAATTAAAAAAATTTAAAAGGTATTCCTGTATTTCAAAATTATGCCCCTCCTTTTGAGTTTAAAGTTTGCTCATTTGCTTCTTGAAATTCAGGTCCGATGTTACCATCACTCTTCACTTTAACATAAAAAAGTACCTACCCGCTTGAGCAGCAAAATGGAGTGGTGTGTTTCCTTCGTTATCCGAACGGTTTGGATCTAAGTTGGGTAATTGAAGAATAAGGTCCAGTAAGTCCAGTGAGCCATTTGATGCAATATAACTGAGCGCCGTCTGTAAAAGAAATTTTCAAATTAGTAACTATGTAAATTTAGCAATGCAAGTGCGAGGGGTGAGCATTATTTATTCCCCTAACATTTATTTATCACCAAGAACGGGAGAGTAAGTACCTAGCGTATAAATGTTACTATCAAAATTAAAAGTTTAAATGCTTTGAGAGATTACGAGATGAAGGCGGTCTGAACATACTCACGTAATGCAAGCGCGTATTTTTGGAATATTTATTTCTAAATCCGTTTGACGTAAAAACATCTAAGTGTCTTTCGACTAAAACCCCAAATTTATTTACTTACAGCTAATTACGACTTTATCTAAAAGCCGCACTACGATTTAAAAACCAAAACGTCTTAACCCATAAAGTCCAGAATTGTCCCTATTTATAGAGTCATGGGTAATTAAAATTAGCAAACGGCGACAATTTTTTTGATTTAAAATTGTATGACTTTAATTTAACCCTAACTTTAGGTTGGAACGTGCATTTGTTTGACTAAACTATTACTTTCTTGCATAACATCGATAGTGTAAACATAAAGTTTTTGCTAAACAAGTTGTAAATCAACATATGCATTTTATTTTATTAGCAAAGTTTACAATTATTTAAACAAGTAGACCGAGTTCATTTTTTTCTTCAAAAGCTGATAGTTTCATTATTATGAGATGAGGCTTTACATTTTCATGTAAAAATCAGTAAAAATAATTTTCCTAACCACCAACCTATAAAACATCCTGCGATAAATTACAGGTGGTTCACTTCACTGCGTTGGTGATGGACGCGATTTCGAAAAACACTTTGGAATAAATTGCTGGTGATTAGGGCGAGAACTACTTTTTCATCTGTCAGTTAAACTTATCTTATAGTTTTGTATGTTTCGATGGAAAATAACTACCTACCAGATAGATGTTTCATAAGTTGTATAAAAGCTCGACCTTAATAGCATTACCTATCGCCTACATGAATAATGATGGATTTAATGGCAAAGTTAGTTCTACTTTTTATAATGAAATTGGAAATCGATCGTTTGAAATAAGCAATGAACGCATTAAGTGCGTAATTTTACATTAATTTATAATTCAAAATTTGTGTAATGTGTCTTTGATCGAAATCACTAATTTTTGAATAACCGTCTATGGAAAGGCGCTCAAATTCCTTGTTTCATCATAGTTTCGTTTTATTTCACATAATAAAAATAATAGCATTGGGTCTAGAATAGACCCCTGTGGCACACCAAACATAAATATTAGGGGTATTGTACCAATCATCACGTCTGGAAACGACAGGCAATAAAATGCGAGTAAAACAATTAAAGTTTGCGTTTTAAGGGCGGGCTCTTATTATTGATTTATCTTATAGCTAAGCATTGTTAGTGTTTTAGTCGATTTGTCTGCTAGTTATAATTACTCGTCCCCGGGAGACCTAATATTCGGTAATAAGATGTCTGGAAGGATTTCGACTTATATTACCGTTCTTAAAAGCTCTCGGGGTAGATAAATTTGTGAAGCGTAAATTTGATGAACGTACTTACGAAACCAAAATCCGTTACGCAAGCAAAGTGGCGTTTCCGAACAATTTTATGGAACAGTCAACTGATCGGTAACGGACGCATCCTGAATTTCGTAGGTGTATAGGAGATTATGCCAAACTTCTTCTCGTTAGATGATCCTTAGCATGTCTACGAATGACGTACTGTAAGGTAATAAATAAAATTATGAGCGACTCGGATTTTTACGTGCGGTGGTCTTCAGAAAAATACGGTCTGGATGCGAAATGTACGAACGTATTAATGGAAATAAATCAATTTGGATACATTGAACTCGCTTAGTATGCGTCAAGCGTCTTATACAATAAGAGTTGATACGGATAAATCCTTTAGGCAGCTTATAAATTCTGCATGTTGAACCCAATTTTTAAAATTACTGTTATATTTGCTTTTGTTCGTAGTATCTGCTTTTAAATTTGTGTGTAATAGGGGATGACATGTATCCACATACATTATACGGAGTTTGGTAAAAACTGGACTGGTTAGGGTTCGAGTTCAATAGATGCGAGCTGCTGCATGGGTGAATTCGTATACCTAAGAACAAAATGGGAGTAACAAACCCAGTATCCCAATTTAAGTTAATTTAACGTAATATAATTTAATTTAAATCTTGAAAATTGGATCAGAAAGATGGGGCCCTTCTTCGAGGATACACATCTCTCATCAAAATTCCAGATTGGTTTTGCTTTCTGTGAAATAGCAGCACCAAATTTAGTTGAGGAAACGTCTAAACACCTGGAGCGATTTCCAAGAATTGATTTTCATGTATCTTCAAGGTTACCTGTTCTAACAATTGGAAAAACAAGATCGACTACCTATAGTAATTTTACGAAAGCCAGTTTTTATTACAGGAGCGATGTAATAAAAGCAAGTTTCTAAAATGCTCCTCAGATTCGGCTTCTGAGGAACAAAGAAGAGCTGAAGAAATGTATTTTGCAAGACCCTTTGAGGCTTGTGGTGGCTGGCTGAAGTGTTTGCAACCCCTAGAGAATTAAAAAAAGCAAAATTTTAATAAATTTTAATGAATGGTTCAAGTGACTAAAAAAAAATTTAAGGGCTCACAAAACCACTTTAGTAGACGCTTTTATTCTGGTAAACTACCTATAAGGTTTATTATGGTTTTTTAAAGGCTATTAAGCACTTCCAGAGGTTTTTAAAATTCTACAACCACATTAAAGGAACTTATATGGGCCTGGACGCTGTTTCTGGCTGTTGGGGACTCTTTGAGGTCTTCGGATGCCCTTTAATGTCCTTAAAGGCATCAGAAGATCTAAACGCACTTCAAGCCTCGTGTCATAAAACAGCCTCGGGGCGTACTAAAGGCGCATTTAAGTACCTCGAACGACCCTTAAATGTCCCGTTTAAATATGAGTAGGCCAGTTAAGGACCAGTCCAAGGTCGCTCGTCACAGGATGGTGACATTGGAAAAACTATTAAACTTCACCTTGACTTAATTCGCAAGGTCACCACCTTTGAGCTTCACCGCCGTCACAAACTTCGAAAAGTCGTTCCCAGGAGGCGAGCGACCCCAAGTTTCACCTTGTTCTACCTTTTTAGGAGCAGGGCACGGGTGAGCAACCACTCCTAATCAAGGGAAGGTGGAACCTACATCCGAACTTGACTTAATTCCCAAGGTCCACCTCTCTCGAAAATTGCCAAAATTTGTAATTTGATATCCAAAAAACTGATTAAATTCTTTAAAAATGAAATATAATGAGAAAATCTGATGACTCGAAACGTTCGTGGAAGAACCCTGGATACCCTTTGTGACTATTGGGAGTCCGTAAAGGTGATCTTGAAAATTGGATCAGACAGATAGGACTTTGAGCATGACAATTAAAGTCTCTCATCAAAATTCTGGATGGTTTTTGATTCCTGTGAAATAGCAGCCCAAATTTACTTGAGAAAACGTCTAAACGCATAGGCCGACGTCCAAGAATTGATTTTCATGTATCTTCAAGATGGTAATAATTGGAAAAACAAGCCCGAATCCGAAAATTTGGAGCACCTGAACTTGGGAAAGTTTTTTGGACCGCGAAAAATTATTTCGGCAGTTGGCCAGGGTCAAATTTTGGCAGTAGGCCCGAGGGAAGTATTTCGGCCGTTGACTTGGGGTCCTATATTTCGGTACTTGGCCCGAAGTGCAAGGTCAAATTTTGGTAGTTGGCCCGGTGTGCGAGATCATATTTCGGTAGTTGGCCCCCCGGGGGTATTTCGGTTGTTGCCTCACCATCTTGAGTGCCATTTGGAACCCACCATCTTGTATGCTATTTTGGACTCGCTACCTTGAACCGTCGTCATTGGTGATTGGGGAAGAAACTTTTTTTTAAATTGACAATGGGAGTATTTATTGCCTTAGTACCATAACTTTACGAAAGTTGCCAGTTTTTATTTAAACGAGAATCGAATTAGTTAGTATTTGTAAAGAAGAAGGTGTAGAGAACACATTATTTCGAAAAAATAATGAAGAAAGTTTCCTATAATTTAACTTTTCACCAAAAGATAGAGAAACTTTATCTACTTATCTTAATAAGTTTCTATGTCAGCTACCTTTGTGACACGACAGGCATCTAAGAGATAATTTTTTCCTCTGGCGTTTTAACCGAAACGGAAGATCTTTTGCCTTTTGCATCTTGGCAAGTTATATTTCGTAAGTACCGCCATTTGAGCTGTTCCGTTCTTTTGCATAATAATTTCTACCGCTCCGTTTTATTGCAAGATAAGCTTTTTGTTACTTTCAGTTCCATTAATTATAAGAGGGGAATTTTGTTTCGTTTTCCTGCATTTCCTTTCCCGTAGACATCGCTAATTAATTTGTATTTTGTTGCTTTCATTTCCGCATGGAAGTTTGTCGTAATGTTGTTTTGGTTTTTCGGCCACCATTTGCTGAACTCATTCAATTCCTGGAGTTACCAGGCCGCCCGTCCTTCCATTCCGCAGACAGCATCAGGTTGCCACCGAGTGTCGCTACTTTCGTTCGCTCACGTGATCTAGTAATTATAATTGGTTAATTTATTTATTTTTAATGCCATTTGTGCATGGACTTACTACCAAAGTTCCTCGCATAGAAATCATACATTGCGTGAAAACGTCATTGCACAAGACACGGACATTCAGCATACTACAAAATACACTCCGCGTTTTGGTTGTACACTCACCGTGATCGCTACAAGACTGACTGGTCTACTATAATCGGTTAAGGTTATGTGCACCAAGATAGCGCTTGCGCATGCGCACACTTACAACTTCAAGGTGAACCCAATGACGATACTAAAACTACAACCACAGTTCAAAGTTTGATCGCCGTCCAAAGTCCACACAGTTTGCTCACCGTTCAAAGTCCAAAAAAATCACACATTAATAAGATATAAAACGTATAACATTCAGTCGGCGCCTTGTACGTTCATTAACAATGTATTTCTCCGATTTAAATCGTAATACATTGTGCAAACCGTTTAAACATTTTAGCGAACTCTGAACACTGAATTGTTGCAACGGTAGTGTAAATAATAACAGTTTATATGCGTTTATATACGTGACTATGATAATGAAGTGGGGTTTTATGAAAAATCATTCAGTGTTTATTGTAAACTATCGAATACCAACCAACATTTTTTAAAAAATAACACGAATAGCCCTGTAGTTGCCAGAAATTTTTTCGAGCAAAGATAACGATTGGTTTTTGGATTATCTATGACCCAAATTTAACTCTGTTTACCCTTAAAGGCACGGTAATGGGTTGTACATACAAATATAAAAAAATTGCGATTACCTAATTCTCTAGCTTCCCTAGTCTATGACACGATTACGGGTTGCTTGTCTAGCATATTAAAAAAAGTTGAAAACTCCTGTACTTGACTTTTCTCGGAGATAAACTCCAATGAAAAAACGAATTTGGTGGTGAAAACTCTCTGCGAGCAACTCGTGGAGTTTTATGGCAGTTTGCTTACAATTGTCTTTATATCGTCGACGTTCCTAACTTAGGATCACCAAGTTCAAATTCAAGCTAGTTTTGCACTTCCGCTTTTACAACTTAACCTTTGAACAGGAGGATCGCAAAACATTAATTGCGCTTACTCTAAGACGACAGCTTCTGGTAATAATGTTCACGCAAATTAACTTCCGATCCAAAAATCCTCCCCGATAATTTTTATTGACTGATTTTGATTCAATTTCCTATGGTTTAACTGCTTTGCTTATCTCACGCAACTTTGTGACGACCGAATTAACTTTTTTGTGCAATAGACACACATTACGTACTTATTCTCTTCTCTCTTTTCCCTAATTTTACAACCACAACACACCTTCAAAAGGGTTGCTAATCGGTTTCCGCGCCCATATTTTTTTGTTCAACCAAGAATCTACGTCCAATCTCACGTTTACAAAATCTATTAGCCAGAAACCACGGGGGTTAAAAACTCTGAGTAATCAGTTTTCATGCTGCTTTGTGAAAGGGATCTAGAAACTGACACGTATAACCCATTAAATCTGTCTAATCTCCCGCCAGACTGGCGCTACCAACTTTCTCACCCAATTAATGTGCCGCAACGGGGAACCATCGACTTAAAAAACAATTATAGAGAAACCATTGACACAGAATACAATAGAGCAAAAAAATGTGGCGAAACCTGCCCTATAACGAAATCACCCTGTATAATTTAGTGCAGCGCGTAACTGCTATTATTCCAAGTGATAACCCGAAATTTAATTTTAAATCGCGAAGGTATACTTTAGTCTAAAGAGGCAAACTCACCGTACGTCCAGTGAGCTCATTCCGAAGAAATTGTGATATAAACATAACCCATAGCAAAACCCCGTCATAAAACGGTTTGTGTTAAATAAGCAGAGATAACGAAATCGCATTTAAGGTAGCGTTATGCTTACGATTTGAATGCGGTTGCGGTAAGTAAAAGTACATTATTGAGAATTGTCCATACAAAGAGTATTAGGGCGAGTCACATAAGTTCAAAAGTATCACTCCAAAAGCGATCCAGTTTTCAATTTTTCTTGGAGGGAGTCTTTTCAAGGGAAGATCGTATCATTTGTAACCTAAAGAAAAACATCGGTTCCAGTGATATCTGTAAGTTACTTTAATTTGGAGAATATTACTCGGGTTCGTCCCCTGGTACTTCAAAATATAAAATTGTCTCATAGGGTCCCAAATCGGGAAAGAAGTAATAATCTTTGTTTAGTCGCCTTTTACGACACGCAGAGTGCTCTGCGGTAGGGTTATTCTTTCCCGCCCCTACACGGGTAAATGCCAAAAGAACACACTACGAAATATCAATGTACAATATAAAAAAAACCACATTCGAATAAAAAATGTGGAAAAATGAGTTTCGTTTTTGCAAATTCGCGAGCAAATTCGTTTCTTTTAATATCTAGGTAGATTATATAAAAATGTTCCCTCGTATTTCGATAGTTAGGGTGTCAGGCAACGACAACAGTTGAGCATGTTTTCTTAGCAACTGACGTACCGAAAATTTTCATATTACATTCTATAATTACGCGAATACTAATTATTCCGAACTTAATTGAAGTTACCCAATCTTTGCGCGTTTCTGATCATTTTAGATTGACGACGTGAACGTCTTAATTGTTTCGACGGCTTATATGTATATAATTGGGTTTTGATCGAATAATATCACGCTTCATTGCTCATGCTCTAGACAACATGGGATAACAATGTATATAAGGATAATCCGGCCTGGAAGAAAATTACATTTAGAAGGTACGCCACCAAATAAAGGTAAGGTACCTTATTTGAAACTAGTAATTAAGCAGTTCAAAGATGGAGCGAATTTTCCTTTTTATTGTACTTCTTTTGACGTTTACCTGCTTAACGTTCGAATTTGAAATGTCACAAAAAGAGATGAAGAGCATTAAGGGCAAATTCTGTGGAAGTTATTTGGCGGACACGATGTCAATGGTATGCGAGGGAATGTACAATAGCAAAGGAAAGCGAAATATGTTGGGCAACTTGGGACGTAAGTATTAATGATCCTTTTTATTACGATACACACGAGATTGGTTTCAGTGAATAAGGTTAACAGCAGGGAGGATTACGATGAAAACGAGAATGTATTCTACGTCGACGAATTGGTGCCATCTTTTCCGTTCCGTTCCAGAGAACACGCCCGATCCCTAATACCTTTCGATTATCAAAAGCGTAGCCGAAAGCCGGGAATCGTGGACGAATGTTGCCATAAAGCCTGCTCCTTCTTTGAGATGGCGAGTTACTGTGGAAAACCGTGAACAAAATACGATAAAGCCTTTATATTGACTGACATACTGTTTTAATGCCCTTTTGTACGTATTCATAGTGTAAATATATGCTTTATCACTCAAACTTTATTTCTTTTTCAAGTGAACTTGTCTGTGAACTTGTATCGTAAAAGCTCCCCCTAATACAATTGTGTCCACTTTAGCCATTTAATGAATTCGGAAATTTCTAATAAAATAGTTTTTATTGTAGCGTCCCTTTTTCAAGCTTAAAAGTCAAATTTTCAAACTTTACCATGCTCTGAGTATACGTGCGTCCAAAATTAGTTTTATGCTTAAAATTTGATATCAGTGAAAACAAATTTCACATTTAAAAATTCGCTATCGAATCAGAATGTAGTGTCCTTTTAAAGTAATGTGGTGGGTTTTCGGATAATTACACTGATTAATATACCGCTCGCCTTCCTCCGAGTGCCTGAAACCGTGTTGGCCATTTCCAAACATGTACTTTTGGTCTGGTTACACAAACGCTTGAGTTTAGTTCAGTTGTCCGACACCTAGGCGACTCCCCACCTTTTGAGCCATGGTTTTGTATGTTATTTTACGTTACTCGGTAAGTGAAGCCGGAAGCGGTCACATAAGAAGAATGTATAATAATATGTAAAAAAACCGGTTCATATTAAGATGCGGAAGAGATTGCAACTCATTCAATCTAAGTAGAAATTACTTAAAGGGATCGTCTGGAAACATTTTCCAATATGAATGACTAATTTACTAAAATTTAAGACTAGATACTTCTAATTATTTAGCTGGCCCACGTCATTCGTCCCTGATTTCACGGCCCCCGAGCTTTAAAGTGCCCGGAAATCCATCTGAAACTTTTTTAGTAAACGGACAACACACGTTAAAATTCATGTGTTTTTGACGTTAAATGTTGGTCGCTAGTTTTTGTTTAAATACTCACTTGCATTTTGTATATTTAAGTGTAAATAAATTACGTGTTCAAAATTAAGTTTATCTCATGTTTTTTCCGTCATTGCGATAAGAGCATTATCGCTGCATAAGTTAATTAGTTTTAAGTTAAGCAATTGTTGCTTTTTTGGTGGTAGACGTTTGAAAGGTTGCCGTTTGTTTTGTTGTATTGCCGCATTTGACCGTACTTGAACAGACAATATGTCTTGTTTAATTGTAAAGTTGTGTAGAAAACAGCTAGAGACTGAACTTTCTTTACGTCGTGATAAAAGTGAACATTAAGTCGAGTTGTTAAACGGAAGCGTGTTTTTCACGTTTACGAAAAAGTTTATTACTTTTCATATACTAGCATTGAATAAAGAATTCAGATTCTTCTCGGACCGAACCAAGCTTTCGCGTCAATCATTAAAATTCTTTTAAAAAATTGTATGAGGATCACAGAAACTTATAAATTTATTAGAAGACACAAATTAGATTCGTCTGTCCCAAGTTCCTCTTATCAAAATATCAGAATCATATGCTTTCGTGGTCCTGATAACATTTTCTTTTCAAAAACTGGATCCGGATCACAGAAACTTGAGAAATTTAATAGGAGACAACCCTCACAAATGTCTTTCAGTCCCAAGCTTCTCTTTTAAAATTTTTATCAGAATCGGACAGACACAACACAAGCATTCGCTTCCATCATAAAAATTCCTTTCAAAAATGTTATCAGGATCACAGAATCTAATGAAATTTATTAGGGGACACCTTTCACAAATTAGATTCGTCTGTACCAAGTTCCTCTTTTGAAAATTTGATCAGAATCATGTGCTTTCGTGGTCCTGTTAAAAATTTCTTTCAAAAAATGGTATCAGGATCACAGAAACTTGAGAAATTTAATAGGAGACACCCCTCACAAATTATGTCTTTCTGTGCCACGTTTCTCTTTTAAAATTTGTATTAGAATAGGACCGAACCAAGCTTTCGCGCCCATCATTAAATTCTTTTAAAAAATTGTGTAAGGATCACAGAAACTTATAAATTTATTAGGAGACACCTCCCACAAATTACATTCGTCTGTCCCAAGTTCCTCTTTTGAAAATGTTATCAGAATGATATGCTTTCGTGGTCGTGATAAAAAATTTCTTTTAAAAAACGGTATCAGGATCACAGAAACTTAAGGAATGTAATATTAGACACCTCGCATAAATTACATTCTTCTGCCCTAAGTTTCTCTTTTGATAATTTTATACACATACTTTTGTTTTCCTTTAAAACATTGTATCAGGATCACAGAAACTTATAAAATGTAATAGGAGACACTCCTTACAAAATAGGCTTTTCTGTCGCAGGTTTCTATTAAAAATTTTCAGAATCAGACGGATGCAAGTTTTCGCTTCGATCATATAAATTCTTTTAAAAAATTGTATCAGGATCACAGAAACTTGAGAAATTTAATAGGAGACATCCCTTACAAATCATGTCTTCATGTCCCAAGTTTCTCTTTTAACATTTTTATCATAACCAAGCTTTCGCTTCCATTATAACAATTCTTTTAAAAAATTTTATGAGGATCACAGAAACATAAATTTATTAAGAGACACCTTTCACAAATTAGATTCGTCTGTCCCAAGTTTCTCTTTTGAAAATGTTATCAGAATGATATGCTTTCGTGGTCCTGATAAAAATTTCTTTTAAAAAACAGTATCAGGATCGCAGAAACTTGAGAAATTTAATAGGAGACATCCCTCACAAATTATGTCTTTCTGTCCCAAGTTTCTCTTTTACATTTTTTCCTGATAAAGATATCCTTTAAAACATTGTATCAGGATCACAGAAACGTATAAAATGTAATAGGAGACACTCCTTACAAAATAGGCTTTTCAGTCGCAAGTTTCTCTTAAAAATTTTCAGAATCAGACGGATACAAGTTTTCACTTCCATCATAAAAATTCCTTTAAAAAATTGTACCAGGATCACAGAAACTTGAGAAATTAATAGGACACCCCTCACAAATCATGTCTTTCTGTCCCAAGTTTCTCTTTTAAAATTTTTATCAGAATCGAACAGAACCAGGCTTTCGCTTCCATTATAACAATTCCTTTAAAAAATTGTATCAGGGTCACAGAAACTTATAAATTTATTAGGGGACACCTCTTACAAATTAGATTAGAATTTTGTCAGAATGATATGATTTCGTGGTCCTGATAAAAATTTCTTTTAAAAAACAGTATCGGGTTTACAGAAACTTGTCTTTTAAAATTTTTATATATATGTTCCACATTATCTTCTGTTTATGTGGAGGAGCCCGTCCCGGCCCGGGGCCCACCCAAGACGAATCGGAGGGGCCCACCGGGAAATTTCCAGGTATCCCGCCCAGCCACTCCGACACTGGTTGCATTCCCCATACAGGAAAACGTCATTGCGCAAGAATCACACACATTCTGCATACCACTCCACGTTTTGGTAGTACACTCGCCATGACTGCTACAAGACTGATTGGTCTACACTACAATCGGTTAAGATAGTGCCAGCGCATGCGTATATTAACAACTTAAAGGTCGGCCCAATGATGACATTAAAACTACAACCACCGTTCGAAGTCCAAAGGGTGGTCGCCGTTCGGGAGTCGTCAGTAAAACGACGAATATAACATTTTCTTTATAGTGGCGTTCTACATGATTTAAATAAAATAAAGATGCCGCCATATCTCCTGTTCGCTATCTTCACCCTCTGTTTCTGTACTTGTGCATCAATGGCCCTTTCTGTCAGCTCATCTCTAATCCTTTTTCTTATTTTTATTCTCCTTTCGACCTCAGCCTGTCGTATCGATTTCTTTCGTTGTCTTTTTTTCTTTGTTCTTTCCACATTCCTTGGTGTAAGATACTTTTACTAGTTAACTTTCTCTTTCATCCCTTTTCTCGAATCTTCCCGATGCCATCCTTATCTTCTCCATTTTACTATCCTCCCCTAAGAGTGTAAACTACGTCAAGCGGACGTTTTGTTTGGCTTCAGCACTTACAATATGTTGGCTAATTTAGAATGAGCACAATTTTGATCATGGTATTTGAATTTGAAGCCAATGTGATTATTTAATGATGTGTAATAGTTTAAATAATCACTTGTATTTTGTTTATTTAATTATAACGAAATTACGTGTTAAAACATTAAGTTTATCTCATGTTGTTCTCCGGTAATTGCGATAAGAGGTGTTCGCTGTCGAGACTAATTAGTTTCAAGATACGCACGTTTATCGCAGATGTTTTTTCGCCAACGGAAACACAGATGGTAGATATTCGACGACGCATTAATCTGTTAAGGAAAGGAAGTGGAGGCGGAAGTTGAAAAGAAAGGGAAATTGTTTTAAATAAGCGAACCGGACATGAATCGGGTCCTCTTTTGGTGGTGGACGTTTGAAACGTAGCCGTCTGTTTTGGTGTATTGCCGTATTTGAGCGGATTGGAAAAGACACCTTGTCTTGTTTAATTAGAAAGTTGTGTAGAAGAAAGCTAGAGAGTGTTATTTAAATTGAGATTCAAGTTACCGTTTGCCATTGCAAATAGCAATATATAATTATAATAATGTTCAATGTAAGTCATTAAACAAACGCCCTCTTTTTGTACTTGCAGGCAGGCATCACGCTACAAAAATTGGAATGATCACATTTTTCCGTCGATCGGTCGTGATTTTTTACAAGCGTCTATCTCACATACATTTTTATTCATAAAGCAATCTTCTCTGTACCTAATTATTATGAAAATTACCGACCCGTAAATGTTAAATTCTATTTCAGTTACTAACCCTAATTAATAATTCATAAGCAATGGGAGTAACGATTAAATTATTATGACAGGTTCAGCATTAGAATGGATGTTTTCACACTATCCAACATGTTAACAACACCTTCGAGTGGTATATAAGGGATGAAATTTTCTGCTACACTCACATCACCCATCAACGGCTGTACAAGAACTATATGGTAAGTTACAAATTACTTTACAACAAATTGCAGCAAAACGTTTCAGATGGGTCACTATATTGCGTATCTCGTCTTATGGACAACTTTCACTAATTTAAGTTTGGGCGCCATCTTCACCGAACGGGAAATGCAACACATGGCCGGAAAATTTTGCGGCGACCACTTAGCCGATATGTTGTCTCTTGTAT